GATCGTAAATACGTTTCAGTTCTTTTGAGACGCGTAAACGATCGTACTGCCGAACAATTAGTGACCGCCATACAGGAGTACATTCTTAGCCGCACCGTCGCAGTGTCGCGGCCGTGCTAACAAGCAGAACAATGTCACGATAAGGAATATACATAACATTCACTGTAGGTAACAGAATCGCGAAAATAAAATACGGTTGACAAAAACAATGTCTTATCGGTTGTCGCCGTAATGTATACTGCTACGGTCATATTTATATAAGCCGTTTCCGGAAGAAAACATTGTTTCGCTAATAACGAAAATTCCAAATGATCGCGTTCACCGAAAGCGTTTCGCAGTATTCAGCGAGTTAATAACCCAATGCCTAATATTTACAAATCATAATACAATTTTATAAATGCATATTTTTTTTTTTTACTAAGTGCGGCGAATTTGCCGCTCCAATCACCTGATTGCATTGCCTGCAGGGTAACCCGACTCTGGTACTGCATATCTATCTATACTGTTCGTCAAATACTTGCTCACGGTATGGGGGGGGGGCGAGGTTAGGTTAGGTTAGGTTAGGCTTTGATTTTGTTTCTTTTATAACTGCTTTTATGTATATATCCTGTACGACTTTCCTATAATTATCGATACTATCGTCTGTTTTATTAAAATGTATTATTTGGTTCCATCGTAAAAAATGGATATTTGTTTTGTAATTTTATGATACCGTTAACAGTATGTATGATATAATTTTACAATTATTTTTATTTCCGAATCTAACCAATAGTTAATAGAAAATATATTAGGTCAACGAAATTGATGGTCGGTAAACTTATTGAGGGAGCGGAGTTGTAAATTGTAATTTACCCGAACTATATATATATGTATTGCATAACGTAACACTGGAGCGGGTAAGAAGCAAAATAAATCTAAAAACGTTTCTGTTAAATAATGTTGCGGTTTGTATTCCTCTTTACCGGGCATCTCTGTAAAGTTAATAGAAATCGGTGGCCGAAAACAAAACCTCCCCCCCTCCCCCCTTTCCGTGTAGAATCTACGTTTTAGTTTATGACAACGGCATAATAACAGTCGGAATATTTAAATATTTACATCCTCCATCCACACCCCCGCGTAAAAAAGATGCGCGTGCCGCGGATTCGCGGCGGGCTTGTCGCCGGTCCGTAATGATCATTCCGCGATTGTAAAACGAGTTCCGAATCAAAACGGGATTCGTATTATACCTAGGTAGTCGTGGGTAGGCATCTAATTCGTATAATTATTATAATTACCTAATTATTATAATTACCTAATTATTATAATATAATAGTATACGCGTTGAGGTAACGCCGAATCGAGTGCACGTTTGAAAATCACTACTGGAACACCCGCGGAAATAAAAAAAAAAAAAAAAAACGATATATTTAAATAACACCAAATTTATTATCGGTTAATACATTATAACGAGCGTACGCAATATGTTATTAACAATTTTTTTATTCTTCGGTAACACGCCCCGGGTGTCGGTTTTGTACAGATATTCCTTCGCCGTATAATTTTCCGGTCCATCATCATCGGTGAACAAAAACGCGTTCTCCTTTGTACATACAATTCGCGGATATAATGTCCCGGAAAATACCACCCACCCCCGCAAAAAAATAAAAAAAATATATCGTCGCCTCCGTGGAAACATCGCGTAAAACTAATAGACAATAAGCAAATGGACAGGCCATTCTTGTACCAATATTGTAAACGAGGCGATTTATCACTCGCCACTATATGTTAGATAGAACGCTTCACTTTATGAAATTTGAAATAACCGTAACCGTCCCTCTTGAAACACTGACAAGGTATGGACAGCCTACCCACATCTTTATTGTCTGTGGTGGTGAGACTCGACATTTCGAGTACATTTATCTATTTATTTATTTTTTTTGTTTTGATAATTCCATGCTTTGAATTTTTACATATATTTTAAACATCTTTGGAATGAAAAAAAAAAAACTGAAATTTTTTCTTATGATAACGACGTATTCCAAATACTCCCGTCTAGAAATTATGAAACAAAAACACCCGTCTCGATGGAATATTCCAAACACAACTATCTAGAAATGATAAATTAAAACGTAGACGACAATTATTACACGCAAGTAACGCGTCTACAAACGAATGCGAATGTTTGTTTGCACGCGAATCGGATCTATATGGACGTGTATATGTGAGTCCAATTTTCATAAAATATGGTTTGGTGGAGAAAACGTTCGGTCGGGAATGAAAATGGAATAATAACCGGAAACGCACTGTTGAATAGTATGCGTACATTAACACGGCCCCCTCCCCCAGCCCCTTCCCCCGCTCCCGAGAGGGACTCGCCTTCGGGAACCGCTGCTCTTATAATAGCGTTTAAATTACGGAAATTGGCTCGTCACCGCGATCGCGCTAAAACGCCTCTGGTCGGTGTACTAATAATAATAATCAACGATGCTCCCATAAGGTATGCTACACACACGCCGTATGTACTCTCAACGTTTTGCTGGAAAATCACGGGCATACTGCGTGTATTCTAAAAACAGTTTTGATAGTCGAATAAAAATGCAAAGAAAAAAAACAAATTTGTCATGATGTACAATATATTTTATCAGCGCCCGTTCGTAAAGCATCTTATATCGCTGGAACCATAATATTACATATTTCATTTGTTTCGACAACGGAAAAATTCGCAATATTCTCATGGTTTACAGTAATTTTATTTTGTTTTTTTTATTTTGATTTTCAGTCGTATTTTGGACGCGTGGTTTTTGTAAATTGACGTTTATCTCGCTATAAGCGATACAAATCGTACGAAAAATACGAACAAAAAGAAAAACCCCGACGTATAACGCAGAATGTTATAGCAACGTTACTGTAGAGAAAAAAAAAAAAAAAAAACATCTACGGGAACACCGCCGGTAATAACAGTCGTTTCGTCGTACGGCCGTGCGGCGGCGGCGGCGGCGGCGTTCGAGCGTACGGCTCGCGGTCGAAAATTCGGTTTGCTTGGCTGGCGCGCGGGTCGAACAACACGTGCGACGCGCGGACGGCGGCGGCGGCTGACGCGCGACGGGGATGATTGCGGACAACAGAAAAAACAACACGTCGCCGAAATGAGCGGCGGTTGCGGGGGGGGGGGGGAGTGGCGGTCGGCGACGGGACGGTCGGTGCGCGGAGAATCCGCACGGGCGTCTCGCAGTACCCGACGGGCCGCGGGACCGGTGTCCGTCCGGGAAACGATAAATAAAGTGTACGGATACGCGCGCGGGGTACGCGGTGACGGCGACGACCGTTCGGACGAACGGAAATCCGGATTCCGACGCCGCGCGGAAACGCGCACGCACGTTGCGGTCGTTTCGCGTTCCGTGTTGTTATGGTCGCGCGGCGCATTGCATTGTAACAATTACAACGAAAATATTAACAACGCGCGTCGACGGTCGAGGACGGGTCGCGTGTTAACGTTCCGCGCGCGCGAAATAGCGACCGTGGCCAGTAGCCGTGGACAAAGGCGTACGGATACGGCTAATACCATTATCATTAGGGCCTCGTTTGATTCGTAGGCGCTTAGGATTCGCAGGAAAAAAAAAACGTTTAAAAACGTCGTAAATGCTCTAAAAAAAAAAAAAAAAAAAAAAAAATCAAAAAATCCGCTAAAAGTGTTTAAAAGAGTAATGGAGGCGGGGAGGAGTGTAAAAGTCTCCCCGTAGTTAGGTTTCTAACTTATAAATGATTTTTGAACATTAAAAAAAAAAAAAAAAAAAAATGTTTATTTCAGAGTAATTTTTTTCAAATACATTTGTACGTGTTATGGAAAATGATGTGTTTTGTGTTAATCGTTTGTCTGCGTTAGAAAAATGTATTTAATGTGGTAAGAACAGTCAGAATGGGGACTTTAAAACTCGTCTTTTTTTTAAATATTTCTACGTGTCTTTTTGACGATTTAAGCGCTTTTTTAGGGGTTTCAAGTTCCCCGAAGAAACCGTGTCCCACTTATCATAATCACAGTTCCAAAAATTGATTCCCAAATCGTTTTTATTTTTATTTTATAATTTTTTATCCACGGCGATAATTATTATATATTATTGATAAATCTTCTAGGTTTTGCTCCCGGTTATATCATCTACACGGTACAACAATAATAATAATTGCCGTATAAAACGGCCAATCTATTTGTCTATCGTCTACAAATAAAACCCCGGGATCGAATCCGACCGTCCGATTGGCCACCTGCACATTTTATTAACATGATAATAACGGATGGATTACGAGCGATCGAATTCGATACTTTGATTTGTTCGATTTCCGTGGCGAAAAAAAAAACAACTCGGCGTACGGAGGTTGTCTGATAATTATCTACGGACCACGGAGTGAAAAAAAGAATTGCAACTAAAGCGAAACAATACGTTTCCGGGGCGTATAAAAAATATTTGTTGACGTTTTATCGTTATTATTATCAACGTATCCGAGGGATGTGTTCGATTTGTTCGCGCGGACGTCAACAGGCGCGATAACGGTACCCGAATACGTAATATAAAATGAAACATTGCCCTACATCCGAAACGGATGTTTCGTTTTTATAACGATACGATTAATGTCCGGCAGCAAAACAAATACGAACGTTTCGACGTGCCGCACGCGCGCGCGAAATTGAAATGTCCGGACCGAGCTCAGGCCGGGACCGGCGGGTTTCCTACACGTTGCGTTACACGATAATAATAAATCCCACATCGCTACTACAGTACGGGTTCGGTTTCGTGTGCGGAATTGACGATACGGGGACGGGTCGCGAGCGCGCGCGCGCGCGACGGTCGCGAGCAACAGGTCCCCCACCACCTGTACGACGCGCATACGCGCGTCCGCCCCGTGGCCCGCGTGCGTTTCGGTGCGTTTGACGCGCGCGCGGGCCCGTGCGGGTACGCGTGTAAGCGCGCGCGCGCGCGCGCCGTCCGTCTTCATTTCGTTTTCGGCACGGAAGCGCCAAGCGACCGCATCTGCAGCAGCTCGCCGCACACTTGACCACGCGCCGCGGAACACCCGGTGGTCTACGTCGTCGTCCGTTCTCGACCGCGCGCGCGTTACTACTGCTGTTACACAGCTCGACTTGCACTACTGAAGACGCGGCCGTGTGTGCTACTGTTGAATTATCGTCGTGTGTTTTTTTTTTTTTTATCTCTGTATTTTTCGCGTCACAATTTAATTCGCCGACGGTTATATCGTACGCATTTTGTTAACCGTAAAGGATTTCCGTTACGCCGTACGGGGTGCCGAAACGATCACAAAACATGACTTCCGGGGTGGCGGCGGCCGACGATCCGCTGTCGCAGGGCTCGCCTCTGGCCACCGACGCTTGCGCCCAAAAGAAAATCAACGAAAACAACCGACGGGTGAGTCGAACGGAACCAACGTTACAATTATTGGCCATAGAATGATAAAAAAATAATAATAAAAAAAATGGTTCGATAAATATTGTTGTCACATAATATTCGAATATTACCGACGGTTATATTTTGTTGCGCGCCAATAAACGCCGGTGATTTTGTTTAAAAACCCATAAATGCGTAATATTTATTCGGCAAAATAGCGAAAACACGACGATATTTCATTTAAAATATCGTTGTTCCTATTTATTTCAATTTGTACTGTTTGTATAATATAACGGGGCTTGCGAATATTTCGTTTTGGAAGAAATGCTCGCGGATTTTCGAATACCTAATTTTTAATTTTTATATTTTCGACACGACAATAATCAATATTACAGTTAATTGAAAATCACTACTCTTTAACCGTATTATTATTATAGCCGGGTTTTCATTGTTTGGACAACATTGTGTAAAATCATAATTTATTCAAACACAATTACAATTAATTATTAGTAATAATTATGCGCATACGTCTATTTTTTTTTAATATTATATTAATAGGTCTTTACGCTTATTATTTTAGTATTATGAATGTGTTTTACTACCAAATGCTATTGCATAATATGCATTAAAACCTACTATATTATTACTGTAATTTACGGCTCTTATGCGACACAAACAATAATATTTCGTTTTTATCGTCATTTTTCAGGCAGACAATACATTTTCTTAGATTTTCTATTGATATTTGGTGATAAATGTAAAATAAAAGCACCGATAGTAGTGTAGCTCGAGCAGGCGTGTTTATTTTCTCAAACAGATAATGAAAATATAAAGGTATCATTTCGCCGCAATATAGCCAATTGAATTTGGACTAAAAACTGAAAACAACTATTTCTATGACAAAAACGCTGTTACGATTCACGGTTATAGACATAGAGCACAACCATTGATTACAAATAAATCCTATTTATTAATGAACGGTAAAACATTAACAACGATTTATCTCATATCATATTCTAATCGTTAATTAATAATAATCGTATGTGGCCACACTATTCGTATTTCCATTGCTTGCATATTGCAATCGATGGTATTTTATTTTTACACTCGGTTGAAATAAATTGAAAAATGTTTTCGATTTTTCAAAGATTTCAATAGGTGTAAGGTATTTTTTTTCCGAGTGTTAATATTTAAATAGAAATTGCAGATCCGGGTGGTATAGGCAACATTTTGTACATGCCTGATAAAATAATCACGGGTTGTTATTTTCACTCCTTAAATAAAAAAAAACAAACCCGATGTTCGCAATATTATGATTTTGCATATTGTTCAATATTAAACTTTCAGATTTGTGTAGATGTATTAGAATTATTTCTTTTTCAATATTAAAACAAAAATTATAAAATTCACTTAAGACATAAAATGTTGACCGTTATTTAACAAGAGAAATTGCCGAATGCCGAATATTCATAAAATGATAATTATATTCAATTTTAATCAAAACTATTGAACATTATTAATCTATAATTATAAATTGTAACGTCTAGTCAATGGTTAATTTTATATTGTATTGTTCAATTTTTTTCACAGAGTAACAAACCTATAATGGAGAAGAAGAGGAGAGCTAGAATTAATAACTGTTTAAATGAATTGAAAACTTTGATCTTGGACGCGACTAAAAAAGACGTAAGTATTAAATAGTAAGAATAGTGGAATAATATGTACTAACATTAAACAATTTAATTAATTATTTTTTTATATTATTGTAGCCAGCCAGACATTCAAAACTGGAAAAAGCAGATATATTGGAAATGACTGTAAAACATTTAGAGTCAATGCAAAGGCATAGTGTAGCTTTATCGGCTGCCACAGAATCAACGGTAGCCAACAAATTCAAGGCTGGGTTTACTGAGTGTACAAACGAAGTAAGCCGATTCCCCGGACTTGAACCCCATGTTCGTAAACGACTTATGCAACATTTAGGCACATACTTTAACAAAGAAAATGGTAGTTGTAATTCAAAACTTCCTCCTGCAGCAGTAGAAACATCGAATCTCCAATTGCATTTGGATTCTAGTCAAAACGCTATACTATTGGGCTCTACTGGATCAGCTTGTGGGGTCCAATTAGTTCCGACTAGGCTGCCCAATGGTGACATTGCCCTTGTTTTGCCATCGAGACCTACTGAAACATCGCCGACATCACCTCCTCCTCCACCACCTCTTTCTATGACTGTACCTACTCCTCCTTCCACTCAATCTGATTCTTCTGGTAGTGAATCACCTATGCCTGATAGACCATCGTCGTGCTATTCAATGGGCAGTTGTGATAGTACAGATACATACAGTCAATCAGAATTGCCATTGGCGTTGGTTACCAAACATAAAAAAGACGATGAACAATCAGATTTAGAACAACCTTGGCGACCATGGTAGCAAAGACTAAAAATATTCGTACAAATTGTTCTCAATTTGTTTTCATTTGAACAGGAGATTCTCATTAATTAAGTGTTTTTATCTTTACAATTATGATGTATGCACATTTTTTCGGCTGTTTATCAATACTTTCATTGATAATATTTATTTGTGCCATACATTTAAAAATAGATATTTATTGTAAAATTTGTTTATTCAAAAAGGCTGGTAGCGCATAACTATTTTATAAGACAGTTATTTTATGTATTTTTATTTACATTATTACTATTTACTTGAACAATCTGCTCAAACAGTTTAAATGTTTTTGTTTTATACTAAATTTATTACATAAAATTGTACAATTTCATTCACTAGAACATTAAAAATAAAACAGGGTTCATGCTATAATTGTGTTAATTTTATTTAATATCATTTAAATTTGCTGGGCATTAGTGCAACATAATATACAAATTATAAAAATTGGTTTTTTTTTTTTTTATTTTCGCTGTTAACAATAATTAATATACTATTTGAATATTACATGGTTCATAGATATTTTAATAAACTTTATTTATTTATGTCATGAAGGCAGTAAAAATTAAATAAAATATTTTACTGTATTTTATTGTAAAATATTTTTTATTTTATGTTTACTTTCTATTTGACTATATTCATTACATTATATTTAATAAATGGTTTCAACTTTTATTGAAGTTTTCTAGTTTATTTGATTTGTATTTATTTATATTGAATTATCTATATAGATCAAATAGTTTAAGTGATACGATTGTAAAATAAGTAAATATATAAAATGTATGATTAAATACATAATTTATTTTAATTTTTTTTTTTTTGTTGTTAAATACGAGTGAGTATGAATGCAATTTTGTTATATTTTGTACTTATATGTATTATTGTATTATAAATAAATACATGTTAAAAAAAGTGCCTCAAACAGCAATAATCATATTGTCTTCCATTTGATTGTATCTTAGTGGGTTAACCTATTATTTAAAAGTTACTTTATTTTTATATTATGTTATTCAATTATGTGAAATATATTGTAATTACTTGATTTTTAAGTAATAAAATAAGAAACATGTTATGAATAAATATTTGTTGTGATTTAATATGATAGACAGAGTTATTTGAATATGAATTGATCAACAGAAAGTCTACTTAGAGCACTATAGATAATACATGAATAATATGTAATTAATAATTGTATTTATTTATTTAATCTATACACAAGGTGATTCTTTTAAGTGGGTACATTCATTATCTCAGACAGTATTAACTTTTTCCGGGATTTGTTTTCTTGAACACTTAAGAAACAAGCTGCTCTACAATTTTATATTTGTGTTATTTTTTGTAACCCTTATTTTTGGGGGTAAAACCGCTATCTACTTTTTATTTTTAAATAGCAACTTATATTAAAAAATCCATAAATAGATGGAGTATAAATTAAAATAAATTTTAGTATTGACATTTGTTATTTCTATCAAACCGTTGACAAGATATTCCACTTTTAATTTTAGGTTGGAGGAGAGTAATGGTGCATTAATAACACGTCGCGTGCCGTACCACCACACAAATGACACTCACATAGACCCCAGGTTTTCAAAAATCTTTTGGCTGCTATACCAATGTAAAGTATTTGTGAGGGGATTTTCCCCTCTCACTCATACTAATCCGTCTATAAACTAGAAACAAAACATAATTCTAATATAATATAAGACAATATTTAATGACGAACCGAGTGTTTAATAGGATAATAATTTTTAGTAACATATATTTATTTACGAGTACTAACCATTTTAAAAATTTTGTTTTACTTTATTATTTTATTATAAATTATAAGCTTAAACAATTAAAATAAATACAAATATTTTAATAATGGTATATATCATATTATGGTAAAATGATTACAATAATGTATGTTTCTATGACAACAATGATTGTATAAAAAAGATTAAAATAACAAAAACTTAATAACAAAAAATAAATAAAAACGGTCGCCAATAACAACCTTATTTTTAATCTTTCAATCTATTTTAACCTAAAAAAAACAAGTTTTCCTCATTCCCTCGAATATTAATGAGAATTTCAAACAATGATCTCTCTAAAGTATCACCCAGAGAACATTTATTTTCGGAAAAGGTACTATACTTGATAATCAGAGTAAACTTTCTGATAGAAAAATTGTTCACTTAAAAATAATAAAAATGAATAAACACCTTTATAAAACCAAAACATTCCTCGTTTCACTCAGAATCTAAAATTACTTTTGGTATTTTTAAATACAAATCAGTGTTCAAATGTTGTTTAATTTAAAAGTAGTGAAATAAAGTGTAATGTTTATATCAATCTCAAGGGTAGGTAGGTAATTTAAATATTTTATTCAATAACAAAAATGCTTGTAGGTGTGAACGATAAGTGTAGCAAAATATTACTCAGAGGAGTCGGGATTTAACGAAACTCACATTTCCTACTTTCCTTTGACTCGTCAATAAAAGGCCAACAATTGGCAAAGTCCGGGTTAGCTGAGCTACGCCTGTACATAAACAACTTTCGGCCTTTTTTTCGGTCTTTTTTTTTTTTTTTAGTTTATCATACATATTTTAATTACTAGACAAATATAGAGTCAAAAAAGAGTTTTATTAATATAGCATTAACTATCTACTGAGAATCATTTTGATAGTTTTTTATTTTATTATTATTACCATTGTGTTAAATATTAGATAGTGTTAGTGTTATATGATGAGAATACTAGGGAGAGAATATTAGTATATTACATAGGTAATACATTTTCTTGAACATTTATATTATTTACCTATACAAGCTACAGGGCTAAATCATGACAGTAGAGAATCAGGTGGGCAAAATTGGATTTTGTACGTTCAGATATTCAGTACTACCTATAATATCATTGAGACCCAAATGAGTTTAGGCAACAAATTATTACGACCAAAATGTAATATAGAAAATCTAACTATTATTCGACGACTATATAATGATGCGATTTTGAAACAGTGTTTTATGAACTGCAGTAAGACTGTAAGAGTATTTATTTTTTTTAAATAAGTGACATAAAAGGAATGTTAGATGTAGTCAAGTTAGATCCTATATTTCGTTCCATAACGTCTAAATGTCTTTATATAATAGTACTTATATGAAATTGATGATTTCGTAAAAAAAAAAAAACTCTATAGGTAATGTTTTTTTGCGTAATGCTCAAAAATCGATTAGGCAGACTCGCAGAAGTTTGTTTATGATAACGTTTTGTTTCTACGAAAGTTATTTAATCGAAATATCGGCATAGCAACGAAAGATAATACAATGTACCTACCTACCTACACCGAAATTATAATAGGTACGACAATTACACTAATTAAATTACCTACTGTCAATTAACAACCCATACCAATGGTGTTGAATTATAGGTAGGTAGGCCTTGTGTTCAATTTTACTTGAATCCTTCGATTATACATTCACAATCGCCTAGTGTATTTGCAGACATAATGAGATAATATGGTGCGTTACTGCTTTCCCAGTCATTCGGTTTACACTAGACACGCCGGACGGATTAGTTCCAATATAGCATTGTCATAAGTCTCCATAGAGACGTAATTATGATTTCCTATATTACAATGTTGATCGTTTCAATAATCGTTTTTCTTTGTGCCAAAGACACTGTTGGTCGGTCAAAATCACATTTTGTGACAAGATCTTCTTCAATAATAAATGGTAAGTTTCATTAATTTTAAATACCATAATGTAATAAACGCACATGATTTTAAAGTTTGAGTTTTTTACATTGATATTTGATAATATAATATTGAAATATTTTACGTAATATTTTATAATCTAGTTGTTATATTATTATTATACAAGCTATAAATAACGCGTTTCCCCGTTTCTACCCCGTTCCTATCACAGTTAAACGTTTCAGTTGCCCGGTAATTTATTTATTTTTAATGGGTACTTGTTTGCTATGATAACTGAATTAACAAATAATAAATGTTTTTTTTTTTTCATCCGTGTCGCCAAAGAAACGCACCAATCAATAAAAATAATTCCAATGTTCGTTCCCATAAAACTACCAAAAACCCCGTTTGATCAGCCACCCGTTTGTAGGATACATTTCGGGATAAAAAGTATCGTATGTGCTAATCCAGAACATATTCGATCTATATGCCGAATTTCATCCGTTTTAGCATGATCGAGTCTCAATTATATATAAATTTCCACATTTATAATATTATAAATTTTGTATTATATATATTATTACGTAGTAGGATTATTGCGAAAATACGTTATGCGTACTGTACGTTTTCTATCATAATATTTAAAAAAATATTTAATTGTAATTAACCATATATTTTATTTATACACATACATAATAGGAGCATATGCAGCTATTTTGATTTACGGTATTGTCACAAAAAAATGGTTTTGAAATTATAAAATATTTAATACGGTAATAATGTTCAACCTACCTAGAGGAACCAAATTACATATAATAATTATGTACCTTCATCACGACACTTCAAATTTCAATTTTATTCATTTTTTTTTTTTCACACACTATAGGTAGATATACTTATAATTATTTGTACGTGTTTGGGTATATATATTAAGTTCGGGTAAAAATGCAGATTATAAAACGCAGTTACTTTGTGCTATTATATACGTATATTTACGTATACAAATACACGTTATTTTATTAAAATAAATAATATAATAAATAGAAGTTATGAAAAAATAATATAAATATTAAAAGTACGTTATTCACAAATAATAATTTTTTCAAGATAAATAATACTAAAAATATAAAATTAAAAACTACTTTATTATAAATTAAATCTAGAAATTCGGAATTCATTTTTATTTTCGTTTGTATTGGTTACATAAATGTTATTATCGATTAATAACACACTGTTTTTCCCTCTTAGAAATCCAAATTTCGAACTGTCAAGGAAAATTATAACATTTGTTTAATCAAATTTATCATGAATTGTTCATGTATACTTTATATTATGTTTTAACTATTAGAATGAATGCAAAAATGTTTCAGATTCGTGATTTATCAATATTCGCAAATTTGTACGTTTCAAGGCTAATATAAATTTATCAATATTGATTTTATCTTTATTAACTATAGGAACTTATTTGTTTCTTAATACATTCCGATGATTCACTTTCATGCTCGGGACATTTAGTATTCAAAATCCACAATATCACATTATACCTATATATTATATTATATCGTAATATATTTAATTCGTAAGACTCTTATGTTTTCAATTTGTAGTAAACAATTTTTAAAAAGCTGGATTGTTCAGTGTCTTTAGTGTATGCCTACTACAGTAAAGAAATTTGACTGGGGCGACACTTTAAGGAGGTCATTTTTCAATTTTCTAATGTGTTTTCATAATAAATGGAAAAAAATGGAAGGAAAAACGGGAAAATTTACGAAATGTATTATTTGTAATTTGTAAATATTACAGACTTTCAAATCTCCGCTCAGAATTGTTTTTCGTTAGCAATGATTAATCGTTACTTACAGATATACCTTCCCAACTTCTCACCTACAACAGTGGCCCACCCTTCGTGATAAGTATGTCAGTTTTTTTAAAATTTTATTTTTAAAAATGAAATATTTCATAAATATACATTTCATTCAGTTTCAGAACCTATATGTAAATAATAGTTTAAAGTGTCCATATTCTGCAATCTACATTTTTTCCAACCATATTTAAGTACCTCTCTGTGTTTCATATGACTATTGTTTAACCCAACGTGTGTTCAGACTTACAGCCAGTGTTGAACCCAGTCAAATTTTATCCACCCTCTTACTAAGACCAGTTAAATTTGTTTACATAACTATTTAACTAATTATTAATTTACTTATATATAACATGGGGCAAACCTAATTCCAGGGGGGCAATTGCCTCCTCTGACATGTACCTGAATTCAACATGGCTTACAGCTGTATGAGGGAGCTGGTTTTTCTATAGGTACATATGTATGCGGTTTCATATTATACACTTGTAATCAAGGCCGTATTCGAGGGGTAGTTTAGGGAGGGAGCAATTGCCCTTTGGGTGGCAGTTTTTTTCATCACTTTAAGGTATAAGTTGCTTTATTTTCTTTGTTTTTATAAAAATAAAATAATTGAATTAAGTGTTTTTTTTTTAAAATTTACTAATATTACCTAGAACAAATTATTATAGATGAGTAAATGTTTTAAAGAAAAAGCAAAAAAGCAAAGTAACAATTTTTCCATGTATTGATGTGGCTTTACGGAAGTTTTTATGTCAAACTGTTAAACTGAAAGGTTTACGTACTAGCTTCACACTACATAAATTTAGGAACTACTTAAATTATCCCTACAAAAGTTTTATATTATACCAAAATAATTCATAATTTTGCATTCAAGCAATCGAGAAAAAAAATATAATGGTGATAATTATAAATTTTTAAAATTAAATTTCACATTAAAATTAGATAGGCGTGTTTTCATACTTTGTTTTTAATTTTATAATAAGAAAATTGCCATGTTTAAATTGTGGGTAGGGGCTTAAATTTCTCTGTTAAGCACAGTCGTCAAAATCTTAAAATAACAATACTCTACATAACTGTATGAAAATATAAAACATATAATATTTAATGGACAATAGAAACAATAGAAAAATATATTACACGAAAAAAGCGATTTAATAAACATTAAATTAGTACTATAACTCGCTTCAACACTGGGTATATTGGTGCGTGTATGGTATACATTAGTATTTTAAATCCAAACACGTTAATAATAACTATTGCCAAATGATGTTCGAAAAAAAATCTAAAGCATTTTTTCGTAATATTATTTTGTAATTTATCGTAATGAATAATTCGAAAAATCTCCGTTACCATTTATGTTATAAAGTAAACACATATTTTTTTTTCAAAACCAGAAGTCTAATTACTTACTGTACTGTTATGATATGTTAATACGTTTAGACACTATACCTACCTACCTATATGACAACATAATATAGGTACTCAACTAATATCTTTATTGTTTCGCTGTAGGAACATGTTAAAATGTTTCATTGATTAGAAAGGTTTGGTGTTTAAATAAAATATTTGTATCGATCCATAATATACGTTTTACGATTGGCGGCTATAAATGGATCTAAATGGATAATAAAACGTCAAACTAATAATTAAGAAAAATTAACCCATTTACGCCCAAGTAAAGTTTAATTTTTGTATGTGTACAAAATGTTACTAACGCGTAATAAAGTTCGACTATACAACGCAAAATAATATCATCGGGTCGATTATTATATTTTCCAACAGTCTAAATCGATAATATGGGGAAAATTCTAAAAATAAAACTGATAACAATAATTATTTCCGGTGTCATACATATAGGCCACTGGGTTTATGTGAGTTAAGAAAAAAATATACTAATTTCAAAATTGAATTCCAAAAAGACGTATGAACAACTACGACCTTTACAACTACTGTTGTATTATATTTTAGTAGTACACATTATACGGATGTGTAACTTGTGTATCTAATGTTTATTATACGCACAAGAACACTGCGTAGTATTTGAAATTTGAAACACTATTTTATTCAAAACAAATTTTAAGTATATGACTGAGTATATACTTATTGTATTCCATCAAAATTATAATATTTTTAATAGGTATACAATTTAGTAACGTTTAATTTTAAATAGATTTGAAACCGGTTAAACAATCAAACTTCAATTTGGTACATGAATATGTAATATTAAAACATTATATAATGTATAAATTAATAAATTAATTGAAATTTCAACTTAATATTATTATTATTTTAAGTATAACTATCAAAATTAAAAAAAAAAATTAGAGACGTGATATAAAAACGAAATTTGACGACACGTGAAAGTCACAAAATAAACAAAACATGAGATAAAAATATGAACAATGCTTTAAGACAATCCCATATTAGTAATAACGCCACTGAATATTATTATGGTTAATATTTTATTGAAATATCAAGTATTTAAAATTAAAATTGATTTTCATCAACGATAACAATTTTAAACCCAAAAATATTCAAACTTAAAAATTACAACAGTTTCATAAAATAAAATCTGTGAAAATGTCAAGTTTGTAGAATTACTGTTTTTAGAATTATAATAAAATGTTCATAGTTTATTCTATTAAAAACAACTCGTTAATTAATCATAATAAAAAAAAAAGTTAAAAAGTTAATGTCAATGTAAATTATTAAATTATAATATATTCAATATACGTCCTTTTTCTTAAATTATATTTTTAGCTATATTTTTCAACTATTTAATTTTGTGAAAGTATTTCAGACAATATATACTGCAGTTATTGATATGATCATAATGATTCATGCTAATCAAAAATTTTAAATTAAAATGTACGGTTATTACGTTCTATGCACTCGAGACACAGTGATCAATAAGTTTTCCTTCATTCCTATTTCTCGCGTGTGATTATCACATTTTGGTTTCCACGAGGTCATCACATTCAGAGTCTCTCAGTTATTTCCATTCCTTGACACGGTCCTATATCGCCTATGATTTTGCACCCATGACTGCATTAGGGGTCAATCGTTACATATCGATTGGCATGTGATTACGACATCGACTTAACTACCCACAGCGACATTGATGGGCGTTTCGCATCAATTGGTTCTATTTGATTTTCCAGACGATTATTTCGCGGACAAGGGACGACCTTTACGTATAAAACTATGAAACATGTTCATACATGATAAATACAATTTTTTTTTTTTCAAAATGTTGAGTTATTATTAATGCGATACCCCTCACAAAACCAGTAAACCTAGGTGGAAAATATTCGTATACAGATGAAGAAAGAAGAAGAAATGGGTATAGTAAATTTTAAAGTCTAATTTTCTCGAAATTTAAAATTCTTATTCTTTCTCATTCAATTATTGTAGTTCAATCTAAATAACGGGCAACATAACATAATTACTTTAGGTGCTATTTGAATTTTAATTGTGGCATCTCGGTTAAACGTTTAATATAATTATTTTACCATACAACTTAACATGATTTGAAGAAAAGAATATTTTCGAGGACAAAGATTGTTTCCAAAATGTTAACAAAAAAAAATAGTTACAGCTATTTCAAAAATCAAAATCATAGTTTCTAATGTTCTGATAAGCACTCATATTTTAATACTAATTTAATATTTATATTTAAGTATATATGATATGCCATACACGTTTATAAAATTAAATATTTACTATTTTCATATAAAAAAAAAACCACTGGTTTATTTTTAATTCTTTATGTAACTAATATGATAATTTATCATAATTTAATATATACCTAGTCTATAATTCCCTAGCTATATAAAAAAAAATCGCATCATATTTTATAAAAATAAATAGAAAAATCATCTATAAACGTAGATGATGTGATCGAATATTTGGTGTTAATAATTTTGATATTTTGAATATTATTTAAACTTATTTGAATTATTATCATGGTAATATATTGTTATTTTGACGATATATTTTTATCGTAGGTACTATATATTTTTTGGACTATGGACGAGATAATATTGTGAATAAAAAATTAAAAAATGGATTATATTAATATACTTAATAATAATTTTAAATATTATTCAAAATGAATAAGTACGTATGACATATATTGTCTATACTTTTACACGTGATTATTAATAATTTTTTTTAGTATTTTATTAACAGCAGCAGCTGCAAAAGTGTAGTAGTAAGTATGGATATTCCAAGTCTGTTTTTAAATATTTTAACAGTTAACAAAACTTTTACTTGTTTACTAGCCATTGATGAATATATGTTTAATTAATCACACGCATTTCTGAAAATTCTAAAAACACAAAACATTATCTTTAAAGTACGAATGTCGTTTAGTTTCAGCGCTATATTATAACTATACGATTACGGTTCTAAAATTGAATATTTGTAGTCCGTGCAATCATGTACCTGAAATACTTAGCGATATAATTGATTTTGTCGATCATATAAATAAAATATACAATAACCATTTAAATTTAAAATACACTTCGAATAAATTCGATTCACATTGATGATTGAGCGATTTTGCCACCTTCGTTTCACGCGGTACACTTCAAAAATGTAAATAAGTTAAATATTAACACAATAAATGATATGCATAATATTAAGCTCTACACTATCTAATTTCAACGGCATGAGTTTAAATGATGCAATTATACGTGTGTGAACCTATAACAGATGCGAGTTTTTGGATGAACCGAGGCATGTCCGATCTAAGGAGTCGGGTTAAAACATTAGAGAGTCCGATAGTTGGCCAGGCGAAAAACATTGTGTTCTTCTTGGGCGACGGCATGTCTTTGGCTACGGTCACCGCCGCCAGAGTGCACATGGAACAAACTTCCGGCAGGACGTTGCCAGAAAGTAACGGTTCGCTGACGTTTGAAAACTTTCCTTACACCGGATTGGTCAGGGTAGGGTGTGTGCGCAAGTTGAACGGACTTGATCTTATTATAACACTTCCCGTGTACTTCTGTTTTCCCCGCGTAGACGTATTGCGTTGACAAACAGGTGGCTGATTCGGCTTGCTCGTCGACTGCCTACATGACTGGCGTCAAAGCGAATTCAGGCACGCTAGGCGTGACGGGAGCCGTAAAAGAGAACGACTGTGAGGCGTCGTTGGACGCTAAAAACCGAGTAGACTCGATATTGCGTTGGGCTCAGATGGCCGGGAAATCCACCGGAATCGTCACTACTACGAGGTAAGTGTTCGTGGAAAATCATTATGTAACAACGGGGTACACGAGACGTCGGAAAAACAAGACGCGGCGTTAATGTCGTCCCAAAATGGGTCACCCCCCCCCCCCCTTCATCCTATGTATTAAATATATTATATATATATATATATATATATATATACTTGTGTGTGTTATTGAAACATTTTACCGAATAATACGAGTCGAAAATATAAATTTGATTATGTTTGGTAATAATATTATTTTGATGAGTTCAAGATCTTATATGTGTATATATATATATATATAGGCACGTATTATAAATCTGTTCGAAACATAAGGAACTACGCTGTTTTAACGAGATTATTAAGTAAATACCATATTGATGGCTAACTGATGTTTACGTTCAAATTAAAAATGCATCCTCGCGATGTTTGTTTTTGTCGTTAACGCAGAGTCACGCACGCATCACCGGCTGGCGGTTACGCTCATTCGGCCAACAGAGGTTGGGAAAGCAGCGCGCCGAACGACTGTTTAGACATTGCTCAACAGCTGATGACTCAATCTCCCGGAATCGATTTGGATGTACAGAAAACAAAACGACGAAAGTCGGGAAAATGGTTCGAAAATGTCGAATACAATATTTGGTACGATTTTCAGGTGATCCTGGGCGGAGGCAGACAAGAGTTTTTGCCGAAAAATATGAACGGCAACCGGGAGGACGGTCGGAATCTTATTGCCGAGTGGAAGGTGAACATGATGAAGGGCCATCAAAGGTACGATTATGTGAGAAACAAAACCGAGCTCTTGAACGCGAATCTGAGAAATCTGGACAAACTGTTAGGTGACTACAGTATAATATATTGCGTATATAGGAACAGTGTCGTTCAAATTGGATTTCGTGTTGTTATTAGTGGTGAACACAACCGAATAGTTATTATCGGACTGTTCAATCGATGATCACGTTTGAAATGGTTTCTAGAAACGTTCACTAATTTTCCCGAATAGAACTATTCGGTCGTGGAAAAAAAAATTATTCGATAGTTTGTCAAAACTGACGATAGTATGAACTATTCGGAAGTGCCCGTCACTAGTCGTTATACTTTATTTATTATACAATATTAATACCTATACGGTAATAGTTGTTTGAAATAATATATTTAAATGGTTATAATATTAAAACGATACGGATGGGCGATGGCCCAGAAGGATTTCGAAGAAGAACAAAATTAAGAATATGTATGCAATAACGTCAACGACTATTACTGGTTTTGTACAATTTGTCATTAAAGGTCTGTTCTCCATGAGCCATATGTCATACACGGACACCATGGAAGTGGAGAGGGACGAGCCGTCTCTCAGTGAAATGACTGTGGCCGCCATCGAGGTGTTACGGAAAAACAAAAACGGATATGTGCTGTTCATCGAGGGAGGCCGAATCGATCATGCACACCATCAGAATTTAGTAAGCATCACTAAACACACTACACTAATAGCAAGATGAATATCATTATGTACAGGGTGTCCTCCGAAGATGTACCCATTGAAATATTCCCGGAAAAATGCACAGTCAATGTTAATCGTAGTAAAAATAACCAATTAGAAAATTCGATTACAGCCTGCTGCACAATTATAAGTACTTTTCTCTGAACTTTAAACAAATTATTAAATATCACGAACTTAATGAAAATAAAAAGTTGATACATCAAAATTTTCAAAAATATGAATCCAATAAAATGGCTATCTTTAAATTTTTCAAAAATAAAAGAATAAAAAGTTTTTTTTAAATTTTTTACGAAAGCATACAAAATTAATTATAATATACATATACGTAATCTTTATCCCTGTGAGTAATATAAAAAAAAAAAAAACAAACATAATTCGATTATCTCTATTATCTTCAGAGATATTTCAATGTTTATACTCGTGAGACACCTTGTGTTTAGATACTTATACATTTCATAATAATAATACTCGTATCATTAATATTGGTTTTATTGTACATAGATACACTTGTACAAAAAAATAATGCATACGTATTTTAAACTTGATTTGTTTCGCCGTGTTTTTCCTGGTCAATAAATTTGTATATCTAATACAATTGAATACAAAGCGTTTATCAAATAATCATACACTCCCCAACCCCCTGACCGTTCAGTATTGGCCGCCCTCCCATCATACGATTTTGAAAATCGAACTAAAAGTTTATTGCAGGGGAGCGAACGGGAACGGTCGGTCGCCACTGGTCGTATGATATAATTATTAATTCGACGACCATTCGAAAAATAGGAAAAGTTTTTAACGGCAAAAAACATCGTAATGAATACACACAAATGATAAAATATATAATAATATATACTCATTTCATGCAGGCGCACATGGCATTGAGCGAAACTATTGCTTTTTCAAACGCCGTGAACGTGGCGGACACCATGACGAATCCGAAAAATACGCTGATCGTAGTCACGTCGGACCATTCGCATACAATGACCATTAACGGATATCCGTCCAGGACCGATAAAATCATCGGGCACGTGGAACGCGGTGAAGAAATCTATTCGATTCTGAGTTACGCCAACGGGCCGTCTGCCAATAGCCACACGTACGAAAAACAATCGTCCAAGTACGGTAAGTTGAAATCAATTTTCTGATTTGTTGAGATGGTTAAAGATGAACCGGAAAAAAAAACGCCCGTGAACAGCAGATCTAAATTGTTAGAATTGAATTCCCCTCCAGCCGACTATTTGCCAATACAATATTTCATTCATTTTTTTTTTTTTTTTTGTTAATTTAAATAGTTATAGTTGCCAGAGTTGCTCACAAAGTGATAATATCATAATAATATATACTTAATTGAATTCATATTCACTAGACGCCCATTAACAACGCCTACCCCTCCCTCTGCCCTATTTCATGATTTACTATTCCGCACCTATTTCAGTTGTAAAAATAAACATATATTCTTCCGGTAATAATAAAGAACCAAACAAAGTTGCATTAAAAGAGATAGGTTCTCGAGATTTTTACCAACATACGGTGTAAATGGAGGTTCAAATTTGATCATAAAAATGGTTGTGTAGGGGAAAGAAAGTTGAAATCCCCAAAAAGTACCAGTAACGTATTTGAGACTTCTCCTTAGGGAGGGCGATATTAAGGGAGGTCAACCCTCACAAAAAAAAATTGTAGATATTTGATAGAATAAAACACATTATTTCATAAAAAACAAGATCTGTATTTCTGTTTTTAATATTTGCAAATCGATTAGTGATGTCAACAATATTTAATGGAATTGATTTATGACTAAGCAATGCCAAACCCGTTAAACGTTTTTTAATCTTATTAATCTTTATTATTTTTGATCTTAGCAAAATATTTTAATTATTAATAAAATAACAAAAGTAGCAGATGTGACAAATATAATAGTATATAAGTAATGATTAAAGTGAATGAATAAAGTATTAAGTCAAAGAGTGGATATTGAAAAACTAAATTAAGAAATTAATTGGAAAATAAACTTATTGCAATACACGTCGGAAAATCACATCTTTTTTCGGAACTTTTTTTTTTTTAATTGTTTTAGAAACAATCACCTCTGTAAAACATTATATCACCATTAATTTTTAATACCCTTATTTTTTTTAAATGACTACTCACTTTTGATTTTCAAAAGGAACTTATATTAAAAATTCCATACATATATGAAATATAAAACTAAATAAAATTAAACTGTGCATTTCTGCCCGCCCCAAAAAAAAATTATATATACACGCCACTGAATTAATGACAATTGTTGATTTAGTTAAAAAGGGCACATTCTGGTGTAGCCCGATAAAAAATTGCAAACAAATGTCCCCCCCATCTATATACGATAAGGACCAAACTAATATATATATGTACTTAGGTATTTTATTACATAAATATTATTTGTTTACCGTCGGATATTTTTGTTAGGTGATAAATTCGCGCTATACCCGTCGTTGGTGCCCATGTCTCAGGAATCGCACGGCGGAGAAGACGTGGCCGTGTGGGCCCGGGGGCCGTGGGCCCATTTGTTCGTCGGGAGTTTCGAACAGAACGTGTTGCCGTTGATCATGTCGTACGCGTCGTGTATAGGTCCCAACGAAGGAAAGTGCTCAAACAGATAGATAATATAACAATATTATTATTATACAGATACGCTGTACGTGAATATTTACTGTATCCAATTTAGGTTACGCGCATTCACCAATAAATAATTTTTTCCGTTTAAAACGTTATGTTGTGTAAAACTTCTAACGGTTATTTTGCGTTAAATTTTTTTAAACTCGTGTGATCGCCTCGATCTGATAAACGATAATTACGTATGTATAGGTAGTATACCTCTGTAAGCTCAAAACATAATATAATAATATTGTACTGTACATTGGTTTAGAATATAGAACTAGCGACCGTTGGCGTTAATCACTTTTCAAATACATAGTTGGTATAATCAAATACTTATAAGTTAGTTCTTATTAATATTTATATATATATACAAACAATAAACGTTATAATATATCTGTGTCGACCAGCCGGTACAAATTGTTACTTAGAGGTCGGTTAATAAAAAATAAATTTAAAGATGGGTAATAAGCAGATTAGTGTTTTAGCCATACAAACCGTTTACCGCAAACTAACATGAGCGTTTTCTTATCTAAACTAAATACCGTGCTAACCTCTGATCGCACTCACGAAAATTCTGTTTGTATTGGAGACGTAAATATTGACATATTTAAAATAAACGCGTCAATTGTTACCGAAAACTGTTTAAATGCGTTGCCAGCAAATGGTTCTGAAACCTGCGCCCGCACTACAGTAGGACACGACGCCAGATTTTGTACCGAACGCACGTTTAGTAGAAACATAAATCTTAATATAGCAGTAATTAAGACTACTAACCATTATGAAATTATAAGTAATTCAAACGCCATCATTGTCAAATAATAAACATGCATATAACTATTTAAGCTCAGCAACATTCGTTGATTATAAAAAAAAAAATCTGAATGACAACTCATTAACCGGTCCCGACGGCATTACGGCGCTATTTATCAAACAAACAGGCGACAACGTGATCTTACCTAAAGTCCGTGTAATAAATTGTAAATCATCAAATAACGGTACAGTACCTGATGTAACAAAAATTGTACCGATTCGTAAAATCTGAGATGAAGCTGATTACAATAATTTTTGACTTACTTCATTATTGTATTTTACTATTTTATATACGGACTGGTGTCCTGCTACGTAGGATTATGTTAGATCAAGGTATAGTTTGCAGTAGCATACGATTAACATAGTCATAATTTGAACTTAAATATAACATTTTTTTTTTTTTTTTGTTTTCATATATTTATACATAAATTAGAAAGCAAAGAGTCCAATTTCTCATTTAGTTTATTCGCCGAGTTCAATTAGTTTAGATTGTCCAGAAGATCGCGCGATATACTATTATATAGATTATATTTGAATAACTGAACTCTATTTTATTTAAAATCAAATTAATATCAGTTGATTTAGTAAGATGGTGAAGATGGCAAGACTGGTAGTGAACTTGTTAAAATACCCTTAAGTTTACCCAAACAGTTTTTACAACACCGGGTGTTTTTAACACATTTCGAACATTTCGACGTGTTTACATAGGACTTTTTCACAGGGTGTGCAGAATAATTTTAGTAGGAACTCTACTACAATCCCGTAAAATAATTGCCTCTATATTACAGTAATTAAAATTTAATTTATAATTCGTATGCGTATACTTTGTTGCATCAATAACGAAAAGAAGAATATTATAGATATAAATTTAATATCATTGTATTTATGGCCTGTATTTTTTTACGACTTAAGAACTATTATTAATTTACATGCGACTAATTTAACATAGGTGTGACTATTGTCAGGCACGTATGCGGGGTTAACCGTCCCTCTAAAATTAATATTTGCGTAATTTAATCATGTCAATTTAATATTTTTTTTTTATAGATATTGATTATTGTATATTTTTTATGAACCTCCACCTCCCGATTTTTTTGTTGTGTACGTGCCTGATAATTTTACACCAAAAACGTTGGTTTTGAAATGAAATATCAGTGTACACCAGAACGCAATCACAACTATACGACAATTTAACATTTTAGTGTACAGACTAACTTTTTAAAACAAACAAAGCTAATGACTGACGGGTTATCAGTTTTTAATGTATACAGCATATTTTTTTTTTTTTTTCTATTTGTACCTCTAGATTTATTATATATTTTAACTACAATTAATAATTATAATAATTGCAAATAAATCAAAAATTTAAAGGAGACACAATTGTTTGCAGGGGGTGCAACTGCCCACCTTACACTCCCCGTGCGCACGCCTATGATTTCGTATTACAATCAGTATCGTCTTGCTTAAACGGAAAAGCTATTGCACGTTGCACATAAAACAGAGTCGGTTCGACCACGTTTGAAAATAATCGAACAGATAACACACGAGGCCATTATACGATTGTTGGTAGATTATTGGAAAAAGATAAGAGAGCGGAGCAACGAACACACTTGTGCACCCAGCGAAAACTGTATAGAAGGACCGATAAAAACTACTAGTTGCAACGAAAAATATGCAATCACGGTCGAATATGGAATAACATAAAAGTTATGACATTTATAATTTCTATAGTACTTTAAAGCTTATCTGTACACAATGTTTGACGTCTGGTGGCGAAATATTGTGTTTTTCAGAACATCCAACTCGCGACGAACCGACGCATTATAATTGCCCATAGAAAAAAACAAAAACACTCTTTTCGTTCGTCAATTCCGACCAAAGACCAACGTTCGTCTCTGGGAATCATTAATAGTCAGCGCAAATAATGATTTCGCGAAAAACTGGAATTAATAAGTCGGTAAACGATTTCCGGCGGCAGTTTCCTATTCACACGGCGTAAAAAAACTGGCATACGACCGCCGGCGCCGAGGTGACACAAAAACTTTAGGCAAAAGTGAACTTTTTATGAACATTTTTTTTTTTCATTCAATACTGCATACGGACAAAACCATGCGAAGCAGCTAGAAAAAAAAAGGAATTACGTAAAGAATTGATGTGTTCGGGGATTCGAACCTGAGACCGCTAAGTTGGAATGGAATGCGGTGTGCAAAAAGGCCATTACGTCAACACATTAGAGCGCGTGACGGTAATTTTCGGCGTATTTAAATGCGCTGAAAATATTAAAAATAAACTAAATCTATAACACCCCCTCCCCCTCCGCTAGGAGTTGATTTTTATATTTTAAAATAACCAATATAACCTTCCGGATAAACAGATTTAACGCAAAAATAATTTTGCCAATTAGACTGTTAGTTCATATATGCAAACAAATTCTCTCCTTTATATTCAGAATGAGTCACTAAGCGTAAACATTTTGTATGTATTCAAATTTTAATTTTTGGAATTTTTAAGTGCGGTTAAAGCCGATATTTTTAAAAACTTACATTTTTTACAACATTTAAGGAGTACCCTGCGATGATACCAACTTTGATTTTTCAAATAAGAAACTATATTAAAAATCCCATAAATAGACAGAAGATTACTTTAAACACGTTTTGGTGCCAAAAATTTTGATTTCTGTCAGTACGTTGGGCGCTAACGAGATATTCCACTTTTAAATTTTGGCCGGGGGAGAGTAGTGGAGCATCATTTGTGTGGCGGCACGACGCGCGGCGTGTTTAATGCACTACTACTCCCCACCTACCTAAACTTAACTTAGAATATCTCGTCAACGGATTGACGGAAATCAAATATTTCAACATTAAAATCTATTTTACCCCTTACTCAATCTATTTATGGAATTTTTAATATAGGTTACCGTTTGAAAATCAAAATTAGATAGTGATTTTAAACCCTAAACATAAGGATGTCGAAAAATAACATAAATGTAAAATTTAAAAAAATATATTTAAAAATATTAAATATTACACTAATATCTTCAATATAATACCTACTCAACATTTTTTAATTTTAAACTACTCAAATTAACTATTAATAATGAAACAAAAAATAAGTATGGACATACTTTGAACGATGGATGGACCACTGTAGTTGTTTGGTGAGAAGTCAGAAAGGTAGGATAATCAAAAAATGACTTTCTTAACTTACAAACTAAGTAAAATTTCCTTTCAGAAACACACACTTAAAAATCGGAGCTAGATTTCTGGTAAAAATTGTGTACATAGTATAAGAAAAGAAAAATGGAACATCATTGTAAAACAAATACTTTTCTTGCTTTGTTCAGAATCTAAAATACAAATTTAAAAAAAGAAATATACCTAACTATTTAAAAAAAATCTTGATTAAAATGTATACATTTAAAAAAAAAAAACAAAATTACGAAAAATAATATATTAAATATCTTTTTATTTTACAAATTATTAATGATATATAAGAAACATAATATACTTTTTAGTAAATGACAAAATGTACACATTTTTATTTACGATTCGAGGTTCTAGGTAGTTTGAGTAATTGATAATAGTATAAAAAGTAAAGTGTGATGCGGGGCTCACAGTGTAACAAGAATTACAAAATATATATGTTTCAACAACAGGTTAACTGTTATTATTGTCAGAATTGACAATGAACTATGAAAATAGATTAAACAAAGACATGTTATCGAATGATATCAATGATGGCCTATCTATGATTTATGTTGATACTAAATACAAATATAATAAGTATAATGAATATATTGTGAAAAATATCGCCACAAAATTATATAACATATATTTAGTCACAAAAGGCTAATTAACATATCGTAAAGGATATAGCAGTATTGTACTTTGCTTTATCAAACTGTATACATTTCTACAATCTGGCAATTGGTAGGAATATGATAAAGACTATCATAAATATATAAACCACTGTAATTAAACATTATTATTTATTATGATAACAAATTTGTTGTAAAGTATCAACTCATCTGATTCACAAATATAAAATAAATTTAATCTTTTGATTCTTTAGTGTCCTCATTGGTATACTTGATAAACCATAGAGCAGTGTTTATTGAACTGTCCATATCGGCAGAAACAGAACCTAATGGATGACAGTCATTGTACATCAACACCCTGCAATGAAAATTAACATCAAGTTACACATTTGAACTATTATTAACTAACTTTACTTGGTAGTGACACCATGTTCCTTAAGAAGATGATAATAAGAAAGACCCTGAGATGCAGGAACACGTAAATCTTTATCGCCAAGCAACAAAAGTGTAGGAGCTTGAACTTTATCAGCAATCTTACATGGTGAACAGTCAGCTAATTTCATTAAAACTTCTTTGGAATTTGCCAATACATCTGAATAGGAGTAATTATACCCAGTTTCAGTAATACCCCTATAAAGAGAAAATGTTAGCAACCATTTAAGTCTGTTTTAATAGTTAAAAAAGAAAATCAGACGTTTTAATAATAATGAAAGTGCATTTCTGAAAAAAATGTATTCTTACCAATCTGGTATATCAGAAGTAATAAAAAGTGATAACACATCAATAACTGGATTTCTAGTTGAAACAGCGTTAAATTTACTCTGAAATAATGCAATTTATATACAATAAAACGTCTGCTTTAAAAAAAAAACATACCAATCGGCTATATCAGATGTTCCAGACATGGTAATTAAATCAGTAACTGGGTTCAAAGCAACTATGGCTTTAAATTTAGACTGTAATTATATTATTAAACACACTAAATTAATACTAAAAATGGTTTCTGTGTAAGAACAACTTTTAAAATAAATGTTACAATTTATTTGTTCAAGGATGTAAATTAATTAGTATGTACAGGTACTTACTGGATACTGTCCACTCAAATGGGTGACTATAAAACCACCATGGGAACCACCATACAACAACAATTCCCTATTAGACCACAAAGGGTTTGATTGAACTGCATTATACACATCTTTGATATCAGCATCACCTATATTACCAAGTAATGATTCAACATAATTTTTACCCAGACCTGTAGATCCTCTATAATTGACAAATAATACAGCAAAACCTAGTAAAATTATTATAAAATAATTGTATTATTCACATTGAAATATTCAAGACTGTGTATCAGTATTACCAATTTGAACAAAGAATGCAGCATTTGGCATATAGGAATCTAATGATGATGCATGAGGTCCACCATGAGGAAATACAATCAATGGGCATTTACCATTTTTTGGACCATAAAAAATTGTAGTAGGTTTATCTTTAAATTAAATTAAATGATTAATCAGTTTCCTTTATATAAAATGAACAACTCTTTAAATCTTACCGTACAAAGTATAACCATGTTCAACAACATATTCGTCGCTGTTTGGAAGACTCCTAGATGGCGAAATTTCATGAATAGACAGATTATTAAAGTCATACATTTCATTCGCAAAATTAATTTTGATAGTAAATAACTGTCCCGGTTTATTTAATGATGATTTATGACAAACCAAAATATCATTGAATACATCTACTACACTAACACTTTCATGAAATGGTTTTGTAACTGGAAGATAATAAATATCTTTTGTCTCTGAAAGATTATTAAAAATTACAACTTTAAAATTAAACTGATTAACATTATATATTTTATCATAAGTAGAATATATTAATTAATTACCAGTATCAATAGCAAATGTATGTATTGAACCACCTTGAGGTGTACTCAATAAAAGTGTTTTATTATCGTTTAACCAGCTTCTTCTTAGTATTGCCTGATTATACAGACCATAAAATGGTACTTCTTTATTGTTGGCTATGACAGTTTGATTATCAACAAAATCAACCACTGTAGTAATCTATAATAATATTTATAAAATTACATCTAAATTATGTAACATATGTTTACTTAAGAACTTTTGAAATATGAAGACATAGATAATTGTAAATGTCAACCTACCTCTTTTGTAGACCAATTATAAGAAATCAACTTAAAACATGAATGATGTGGTCCGCCAACTAAACGTTCCAACCACACAAGCTTTGTACCATTTGGATTGAACCTGGGAGTCTTTACAGATAGTTCTGAATCGGAACTCAACACATCTATGTAAAATTACAAAAAAATGAGTCACTAAATATTTCGAAAAAACATATATATTATACAAACGAAAAAAAAATAATTAAGATAAAGTCTATATGCTATATTATAATACATAAGCTTATACCTACAAAAATTTATAAAATTTAAAGTGATAAGGTAAAGAAATTTATACTATCATCACTTGAAGTATGCAAGTTCTTATGAGCTATTAAATATTTGACAATTCCAACCCATCATTTTAGATTCTGGGTATAGTGAAGAATGTATTGCTTTTACAAAAGTTTTTCTTTTTATACTGTGTAGAAATCCACCAGAAATCTTAAACCGGAGTATCAAATATTAGTAGCACCTTTTCGGAAAGGAAATATTTCTGGGGCAGTACTTTAGACAAGTCATTCTTTGATTTTCCCAATAAATGGGAAAAACAAAAAAATAGATATAATCTTAAAACTAATATTATTAAAGAAAATATATGTATATTATATATGTAATTATATTACCATAATGTAACACATAAATTGTTGACAAAGTAACTATATTAACCGAACTTTGTTTAGAATCATGTTTTCGTTGGCAAAGTTTAATCGTGTATAGAATACATTGAATTTCCTCTCTACCTTCCCAAATTCTCATCTACAGTAACCCACCCAAATGTGAAGTAGGTCCATCTTTTGAAAAATAATAATTATCTACATCCTTCAAACTGAGGTTTATTTTGTTTTACGTTTCAAAGTAATTTTAGAGAGATTCAAAATATATTTTTAATGCAATTACATTAGTTTTAGATTATACTTACTATAATAGCCATTTAATGTGAGAGAAAATATATGACTAGGGCGGTTGGTACAGTAAACAAGTCCCAATTTACGTGATGAGATTTTATATCCAACTGCAACAACTCCACTTCCATCAGGAATCCATGAAGCTGATGCAGGATGAATGTTATTTGGAATATTAGGAAGAAGTTCTATAGTGTCTGATTTTATATCACACACAACTAACACTGGAGTTATCTTTCCAACCATCTGCTCACCCCAATCTTGGCTCCATTCATATTCTTTACCCTACGATAATTCATTTTTTATAGTTAATACCTTATGATAATGTATTCATTTAAGATTATATCTTTATACCGGAACAGCATTTTTAATTTCTACATCACTTTTATCACCAGATGATATTGGTTTTTGTTTAAAAAATGGTTCTGACTTGGGAACTTTTTTCTCAGCAATGTATAAAATTTTTGTCTCGTCTGGTGACCATTGTAGAGTTTCAAATTCAACTATACAACAAAAATCATAAAAAAAAAAAACATCAAACTATAATCAAAAGTAAGTAAGTATTAAAAAATGTTCATGTGAAATTACTTACCATCTGCATAAATTTTTCCATGCACATCCAAAGCACTTAGGTCATAAGTTTTTATTAGACAGCAATCAGCCCATACTTCCAAGTATTGCTTACTGTCCTTTGCAGATTCCACTTCTCTTACGACACAAAAATACTTATTTGATTTTGAGTATGCACTTATCAACCTATGTAATGTGAATATTTATTTTGATTTAATAAGAAAATATAGAATATTAATATTATTATTATTTATACTCGTTAGATATATCCGTTGGTGGCGATGTTATAGTATAAGTCTTATAATCAGATACAGCAGTTTGTCGGTACCTAGTTGTTGATTGCCTCTCTAAAATCCTTTGAACCCAAACAGACTGAACACTAAGAGAAGTTGTAGAACAGTCTAATATTCTAGCGGATATTAATGCTGGATATTGAGTGGACACACGGAAAGCTGCTAATAGTTTATCTAACTAAATGTTAAAAAAAATTAACAATTATTTAATACCTAATTCATTTCTTCATAATATAAATCCTTACTTGGGCCATTTCTTTTATTATTTTCTGCTTTGATGAATAGTAAATAAAGTAGCGAAACTATTAAGTACCTTCCTACTATAGTAATATTTAGTACTTTCACGTTCAGTTTAGAACCTTTGTTGTTGACTGAACAATCAATTAAATAAGTGCATACAAAAAATGCACAGAACGCAATAAAACAACACTTGTATTACTTGTAATATCACCATATAAGTACATGGTTAAATAAATAATCATTTATTGATAAGATAATTATTTTTATAAATATGCTGTACACTGAATTTGAAAAAAAAAAAAAAATGGCTTTTATAGTTTGATTCTGGGTTATCGGTGTTCGGTATTATTATTACATTCATAGATAAATATAATATCTATACTATTACCATTGAAATTAATAAATTATTTTGAAAAAAAATCTATATTACAATACCAATGATAATAGAATATTTAAATACTACAATATGGGAAACTCAAACTTTAAGTTTGATTGTGAGTTGATTTCAATTAATTTAAAGTAGTGGTAAACTGATATGATATTTTTCCGATGTATGAAATCAAAAACTGTGAGCCGATATTGAGATTAACATTACCAGATACCCGATATTTAGGTAGCTACCAATATTGTTCGTGTAAGGTAATTTAAAAAAAAATATATTATTTACAATCATTTTGATTTACATAATTTAAGTAAACGATTTTTTATATTGTAATATTAGTCCAGGCAAATTAAAAAAAAAAAAAAAAAAAAAAACAGGATAACTTAATTTTGGTATACACCTTTATTGAAGGTTAATGACCGTTCCCGAACGTAACAAAACACGATTTTTGGTTAAACTCAGAAATATTTTTTGATGCAAAGTCCAAAAACAGAGTATACAGTATTATAATTACTAGGTGATTGGTTCACAAATGGCGAAAACAATAAGTACTTGAAATTTTTTATAAAGTTCTGTGTTATTCTATCCAATAAACCACTCCAATTAGGAATATTAATTATTGTCAAGTGTTTACCATACATCCGCATTAAATCCCGGGTTTCTGTTAATAAATTGTAATCGCTAATGATTCCCAGTCGTGATAAATCTTCTAGAATAATTTTTGTAAAAAACGCATTTTTCCTTCTTGCTCGAATGTTTGAAATGCAACTTGATGGCGTAATCGATTTTAATCGATTTATCGGACCACTCGATTTTTCAAACCGTTTTGGTCTAATACAACGTGTACCGCCCGTTGAATGAAACGTATTTAAACCACCGAATGTATTAGTATTACCATTCGCATTGTCGAAAACATACTGACTAAACGCCCCAGTAATAAAAGTTGGCTGTGCGCTAACTGTGACTGACGATTCAAAAATCATTGCTACATTGTACGTTGCTCAAACTCCCGTACTTGACATTATTGAAATTGATTCATTAAACCCGAACGCTCCGTGTAAGTAAATGGAGGTGCCAATTAGTAATGGAAAATAAAACGACTCGGGTCTAATTGCAGGTATTATAAATATGCGCCGGTACGTTTCCTATGCGAATTTATTTTTCATTTTTTTAAAATGTGTTCTTTAATGAGCGTTTTAAGAAACAAGTTAAAAGCTTCAGAAATTTGATTTTTGCCAATCATACAAAAAATTGTCAAACAAAGGATAAGTATCCAGTTCATAAATTTGAGACTTAATTTCTTCCCTTATAATTTTCGCTGTATTTACTGCATTGGTAGTTTACGGCCGGGTGTAATCCTTACGAAATTTTCGGCGTACTTTTACATTTTCGTAACAATTTTAACCACTTATCGTCAAATCTTTGTTTACTCGCATTTATTAATGACCTTTAGTGTGTTACTAAGTACCTTTCAATTAAGGTGTGTACCAAAATTCAGCTTTCCGTTTCTTTTTCCCGCTATTTGTCAAAATTAAGTCTAATTTGCCTGGGCTATATGATAATCGAAATTACAAGTTTATTAAAAATAGGTAAATTTTTAGAAAAAAAAAAATTGTTTTGAACAGGTACTCATCATTAATTTAAACCACCCGAAAACGGAGGGTTTTTTTTTTTTGTAAAAACCCGTGTTTTAATCGCCCCAGTAGTTTTTGAGTCTATCGGTTACAAACAGACATTACTTTCTGTACGTACAATTGTTAAAACTTTAAAAGTCGTTTGATTTACCTGTGTATACGCGTGTAGGTAATGAAATATATAAATATACCTAGGTACTTAAATGTTATTATTTTATAAACATTAATTTGTCATTTATTTATATTTATAAATAAAATTTAAAAAATTAACTAGTGTATGAAAAATAAATTATTTTATTATTAGTTGTACAATTTGTTTAAGCAACAAAATCATTTATTTATATAGATTAATGGTGACATAGGTTTCGTATTTAGTTAATCCAGTAGGTGTCTACTATACTCACCATACGTTTATTTATACAGTATAAACTGTATAGTACATTAGCAATGTGCTCTATTCTATAATTCGTGTAATATTATGACTATAGTATATTAATAATTGAAATTAGCAAAAGCTGATTTAATTGGTTTCCACGCGTTCACTGTCAACGTTGTAATTGATAGGTACCTACTAAAAATGCTGACTATAGTTATACGCAATGGATAGGCCACAGTTGTAGACGACGGTCACCAATAGCGGCAATAGGAACATATTTATATCTTATTATCATTGTCTAATTAACACTTAATTTTTTATTATTTCATTATTTATTTTTCAATAATTGCTTGAAATTTTATTTTCAACATCATGTCATTTACAAAATATATCATCCTGCCGCCCCACCGACGAAAAAATATCAATTGCACAGTAGGTATTACCATTGATTATACTTAATACTATGTAGATTACCTTTTTCTTTCACCCATAGCAACAAATACTAACAACAAAAAGTTTAGTGTTTTCAGCCAAACAAATATTATTGTAAGTCAATACTGGCATAGAATATAAAAATTTAAGTTTATTTAATATATTATAAAATCAATTGTACTAAATAGGTATCAATAGTGTATAGGTACCTATAATTATATAAATATGTCTTACAGAGATTTATTCAGTAAGTAATTTAGACAATTACTATTATAATACTATAGTAACTATACCATATTTATAATTTTATAATTATCTATAAACATTACTAAAATATATAAGTAAGTAAGTTAAGTAAGTATTCCTTATTTTGATATTTCTAGGGTTTACTGAAGTCATGAGATCTCTAGGATTCCATCAACAAATTTCAATGGATAGTTTCCACAATCCAAATTTTCCTTTAGTGGCAGAAGTTTTACTTTGGCTAGCTTTACGTTTTGAACCAGATACTAATTTACCACAAGAAATCGAAACATCTGAACAACGAGTATATTTCATTCGTTCTATTGTAGAATTTTTTGTAAGTCACTATTAAAACGCATTTAAAACTTTTCATATAATAATGCAAAAAAAACTACCTCTTACATTTATTCTTTAAATTTGTAGGCTCTTAAAACTAATATTAAGTTAAATGTAAAGAAACTGTATCAAGCTGATCGAAATACAGTTGGAGAGTTATTAAAAATAACAGATTTACTAAACGATGCACTGAACACAAAAAAAACATATGACAATGAAAATTTTTCTAAATTAGACACCAATTTAACTTATAAAGTATTTTATGTTTAACACTATAGAAAAAGAAAGTATGAAAAATGACGAATTATTTTTATGTATCTAAGGCAAATGAACTAAAAACTACAAGAGAGCTGGCATCTAAAATTACTCAAAAAGGTGCGGTCTTATTTCGTTCCTTAGAAGAAGAAGCTGAACTACGGCCAATCAGAGATAGTCGAGTAAATGCTGCTTTGGATATTAATGAAGTTGAACAAAGTCTTAGAACATTAATTGAGAAAACTAAAAGAGAAACTGAACATACTAGAGATTTGATAAAGAACATTTCAGCAACAGAAGCAAATTTAGATTTAAAAATTGCAAAAAGACGAGAGGATCTAGAGAGAAATTCCAAAAGACTTAACACTTTAAAACAAGTGAGGTAAATATATGTACGCTTTATAATATTTTGTTTTAAATAAAAATATATATGTTACAGGCGATTTGAACCATAAATATAAACAAATTAATTAGCAATTTTTAAATATTTTCTACTTCTTACATATATTTTAAAATAATTATATACCTACCTAATTAAAGTTATTATTACAAATAAAATGTTTTGAAACACCCAGTATAATCTCCGTATTTTTAAATTGAAGATATACATCCGATATAGTCGTATACCGTTAGCTAGCCATATTGGATGTTAAAAGTATAAGTCAGTTGATAAAAACCATGTAAATTGTATGTAAATAAATAAGTAATAATAAATTAAAAACTGAAAAAGAAGTGGTTGGATGTGATTTAGAATGATATAAGGACAACTTATGTGTGTGAGGTGGGAGATCAGATGAAATGGAAGTTTAGATTGAGGGTGGTCGACCCCAAATAGTTGGGATAAAGAAGTAATAATAAATATAGCACAACAAAATTATTAACTTAGGTATTTAAATTGTTTAATTAACTTATTTATAATCGTGATTAAAATTGCCTAGGTAATATGGACAATAATTTTTCTATTATCATTTTGGCACCATTAATACCAGTATTATACACAAATATTTTACTTGATTATATAGTCTATTTTATTATAATCTGAAACACAGCAACAAAATAAAATGCATGTGATTCTAAAGATTAATTTACCAATTTTCATCCTTTTTTATAACTGAATTTCTAGCAATCAAATTTAAATTGTTTTAATAATACATAATGGAAAGAAATAATACTTTACATTTGGATTCTGGAATTCACAGAAAATATTATTTGTTAAATTTTTGTTTTTATAAAATTAAAATGCCTTTTATCCGAGTACATAGAAAATTGGATAGTTACACTTTGGAGATTATTTTAAATATTTCACCTTAAGGTTAAAATTATGTATAGAATATCATAAAAAGAAATTTAATTTATGTACCTTAATTTATGAATCTACAGCATGAATAAAATAACTTTTTAAGGCCAGCGTTTTTAGAGGAGTTTGAGGATCTTGAATCTGAACTTAGAAATTTGTATCAAGAATATATAACAAGACAAAGATGTATAAGTTATTTAGAGCATCAACAAGAGCAAGTAGCTCAAGCAGAATTAATACATATACAAGAACAACAAGTAATTTTATATAATGAATAAGATATTAAGATTTTTATAATTATTATTTTATAAGGAAATGGCAAAGAAAATAATTGAAAATAACAAACAAGATGACGATTTAAAACTATTAGAAGATGTTAATAATGAGTCATTTAATAATCAATTTTTAGAAAATCCACCAGACATCAGTATTAAAGGAAGAGGCAAGTTAAAAACTGCAAGTCTTGTGTTAATTAAAATATCATAATATTTAACAATTTTAATTTGGGAGAGGATACTTTAAGTAACCAGAAAATTGAATATGTCAATTTGATTTCAGACATTTCAGCGCAATAAATTATAGTACCTACATTAGGTATTTATTTATTTCTGATGATATATTCACACAAATTAAGTGAATTAGTATTTTCTTTAACAAAATTGATAATAAATAAATATTAATACTAAATTAGTTATTTGGTATTTTTGCAATTTGTTATTATTATTGACATGTAAGTATACTATTGTTTAAAAAAAAAATATTGCGCTGAAATGACATTGATCTTAATACTTAATCTATTCTCGCTTATGAATATTCAATCATTATTAGTTTAAAAGGATTGTTAAATATTTTTTATTTAATGTTAAAAGTTGAGAACACAAAATGATAGACATGTTTATTTGTATATATTTGAGCAACTTTAAAAAATTAATCTTGTGAAAGTCTGAAACATTTAAAAAGTTTGCTTCTATACTTTATAGTTAGTAGTGCAGCAACAAGTAGAAATCGTAGTATGTTTGGACGTTTATCAGACAGTGAAACAGACTCTGATTTAATGTTGGACGACGAAGAGGATTCGAACATAATGGCATCCGATGGAGAACTATCAACTTCAAGAACTGAAAAACTAGGAAGCAATCATAGCGATAGTGATAATTGATAATATATATAAATGTTTTTTAGAAAATAACATGTATTACTATTGTTAAATGTAATCTTTGAATTAGACATATTATTATATTTTTTTAACAATCTGCACGACATCTTCATCATTTAATACATGATCTTTTCCAACCTTTTGCGGCATATGTTTAACAGATGATCCCCAAACTAGAGCACTAAATAAACACATATTGTATTTAATTATAATCAATCATCAAATAAAAAAAAAAATTTAAGTACTTACTACTTAAATTCTTTAGCAATTGTCCGATGAAGTTTGTTACAAAAATCTTCAATACTTTTCCTTTCATTATGTAAAACAATTGGTGATCCATAGTCCGGTAGTTGTCCTTTAGGTTTAGTGTAACTATTTTGTAAAATACATCAAATTTGTCATTAATTGTTCATTTCTAAATAAATCTTGTGAAAAAAGAAAATGTTTTAAATGTAATATATAAGTAAACAATATGGGTAAAATAGGATGATAGAGATAAGTGGAGAATCTAAGGAAAACTGCAAAACCTACCTTAGGGTTGATTTATTTAAAATATATATATATATATTTTTAAATAGTTGGATAATTTGTGTTACACAAAAACTACATTTTTTACATTTTTTTTGTTTTACAACAGTTCTTATAACAGAAATTGACTTTGTCATTATATAATTTTAAATAAATAAAATCAACTCAACAAAATAAACAAATACTAATTGTACAAAACAAGCAACTCAACAATAATAAAAATGAAGTCCGAAAATTATAATATTACTTACATTCTAACCAATTTTAAATATTCCCACATTTTTTCCAATAGATCATCAAAATTCCATTTATGATGAGCACTTATAGGTACTGTATGTGGTATTTTGTAAATTATATCCAATTCTTCTATACTTATTTGATCTAAAAAGTAAAAATGATTACACTTATATAGGTACAAAATAGTTTAAAAAAAGGCGTATTATAATTATTAGTATTAGTTAATACTATTGAATATACTATTTATGATAAATACTAATACTTAAAAAAAAAATATACAAACCAATTTTATTTAATATATAAATGCAAGGTAAATATATACGGTTTCCTTCAACAACATCAATAAGATCATCAGATGTGGCATCATATCGAAGAGTAATATCAGCATTATGAATTCGGTATTCTGATAATATGGTTTTCACAGTGTCTAAATCCAATTCACTTTGTTGCACCTATTACACAAGTTCACAAAATATGTATAAAAAAAAATAAAAAATAATAGGGAAAGTCTAATTTACCCATTTCTAACAAAACAGCTGTAACATAACTATATGTATACAATCAAAATGAAGCTCAGAAGAGACTATTCAGAATACCAACATCCATAAAATGTCAGAGTTTAAATTTTACCAACCCAATCATTAGTGACTTATGTTAATTATACTAATTTTTAGTTATAGTCATTGAACTAAAAACCAGTATAATCTACTCAAGTTGCAAATTATTGAGCTGACAAACTTTTAACTTAAAAAATGTATGTAAGTTTGTATTCTGAAGGTCTGTTCTGAGTTTTACTTCGATCGGACGAGTATAATTTCTGTAACAGCTGTTTTTCCAGAAATTAGCAAATTAGCTACTTAGTCTTTCCCCCCCCCAAAAAATATAATAATATAATGGAATATATATAATAACCATAGTTTGTAAATTTATTCCACCCTTATCTTTTCGTCGATATACTATATTTGGAGGTGATTTGTTTAACCTTAAACCAAATCCTTCCAATTCATGTTCTATTAATTTTTTGTGTTTTAATGGTTTGAGAACATCCAAAACAATGAATATTAATGAACATGTTCGAGCTACAGCAATAACTTGACGTCCACGACCTTTACCATCCTTAGCTCCCTCAATAATACCAGGTAAATCTAGAAGCTATACATAAGTATAATACAATAAATAATAATAAAAATGGTTTTGGTTTTTACTTAATAATTATCTAAAAAATGTTCTATAATTATTAAACAATATGCAAGTGCATTCACATTTAATATTCTATTTATTTATTTAAAATCTATATTATTAATTATTAACATGAATTAATTACTTGAATTTTTGCTCCTTTGTATTTAATACATCCAGGAACAGTGGTTAATGTCGTAAACTCATAAGCAGCAACTTCTGAATAAACACCAGCTAAATTACTTAATAATGTTGATTTACCAACAGAGGGAAAACCTGGGGGAAACAAACATTATAAAATATAAATCGTAGTAAATAACATTAATTAATCTTACCTACAAAACCAATTCTGGCGTCTCCAGTTTTGGCTACATCAAAACCTTCTCCTGTACCACCACCACCTCCTTTGGGGGTGATAAGTTCTCGTCGAAGTTTTGCAATACGAGCTTTAAGCAACCCTAAATGACCAGCTGTTGCTTTGTTCTTCTGAGTTCTGGCCATCTACATTAAAATATTATTAATTTGGTACCTAACAAATGTTTGACATATTAAAAATGTACTTACTTCGGCTTCGATGGCCGAAATTCTTTCTAGTATTGTTGACATCGTTGAAAATATTCCAATAGGAAATTAAAAACGAAAATATATTCTAATTTCTAAATTAAAATAATTAACAAGTCTAAATAATAAACCGGGTAAACATCTTAATATCTTATCCGAAATTTACAAAAGTGGCCAAGCGGCGAGCGTAATAGGAAGACGAGAATATTATTTTTCATACTATAGATTATACAGTTCGAACCATAACCTCAAAACGTAATCATGGAAAATTAAAATTGGTGTCTAAAATGTTCATATGTATGGACCTGTTTCATTTTTAGAAAATTTATTTTGAAGAAATATCAATCAAAATAAGTTTTTCAAAAAATAATATTGTTTATAATTAAATTAATAATAGTAACTTTTATATTATTAAATTTATTTATAAAAAAATATAATATATTTTATAATGGAATTTTTGGTTATGACTGTTATGAACTATGGTGCATTATTTTTAACAATCGAAACGAAAATGATATAAACCATTAGAGAATTTTGTTTGTACCATAATATTCAGAAATGTCACAATAATACAAATTCGTATAAATTATAAATATAACCAATATTTATATTATAAATAATAATATATTATGAAAGTATTAATATTATAGTATCTTTCACAAGTTACAATTTCACATTTGTTCGGTATTGTTAGCAAACCTTAAAGTATTTAATTTATACTATTGTATGTATACCACCCCGTTTTAATACCTTTTACTACTCGTATCAGTGAATATAATATACAGTTGAACTACTACACGAATATTTGTTTTTTTTTCTGTTTTTTGAAAAATTTTAGTCTCATTCGTAAATTATAATTTAGTAAAATGGTAAAAACATTAATTTTTTAATATTATAATATACTTAAATATATATCATTAATATATTTTCATTATTTATAGTCGCACACCATATTATTAATTCAACCAGGCAACAAACCAGAAACGAGAACATATTCTGATTACGAGTCTGTTAATGATTGTATGGAAGGTATGGAAATTTTACAATGACAATGTTATAGTAAATAAATAATATTAATTAATGTTTTATTGTTTTAGGTGTTTGTAAAATTTATGAAGAACATTTAAAGAAACTAAACCCAAAATCAGTTTCTATTACATACGATATAACTCAACTATTTGAATTTATTGATCATTTAGCTGATCTTTCATGTCTTGTGTATGTTAATATAATGTGTAAAATTATTCAATATTTTTAATTTATATTCCTTTAACCGTGTTCAGGTATCAAAAAAGTACCATGACGTATGCTCCATACAATAAAGATTGGATAAAAGAAAAGATATATGTCCTACTAAGATGTCAAGCAAATCAACGTCAATAAAAGTATGAAGTTATAAAAACATTTTATTATAATTTGTATGAGGCTGTTTTTTTTTTTATCACTACCTATTTAATTTTGAGTAGTTGTATATGTATAGATTACAGGAAATCTATTATAAACTGTTCATAAGGCATTGTAACATTTTTATTTTTAATATCTCAAAAATATTGAGTTCAAAATTTGTATGATGTATTTGTATTGACTAACTTTACTTTATATTTTCAAACATTATTATATCAATTTTGGGTTCCTCAATTCAATTTTTGTATGTACTTACCTAAATTGAAATATTTAAAAATTTAATTTCAATTATTTTTTGAAATTTTTGTATATTATTCAATCAGGATATTGATATAAAATAAATGTTTAACTAAATTTTCTTGGATAATATTTTTTTTTTTTTACATTTTAAACCTTCATATACACATGTATCATATTAAAAATGTGTAACCCGCTTAACTAAATATAAGGAGAACAAGGGAAATTTTATTTTCTCATGCATAGATATTGGATACTATATACAAAAATGGCATTTTTAACTGTGGTCAGTATTTAAGTCTTCGCTCTATTTTAATAAACTGTTATGAAATATTTTAGGAAATCGCTATTGTCCCGTCTAATTTGGGATTAATAACAGTCCTAGTTTATAACTGATAAAAATGTGTATCTTATCTTATTTGAAAATGTTATAAAAAAAAAATTGGACAAGGAACAGTTCATGTAAAAATTAGGGCCTATTGTCTCCATACATCGTTTTTTCTTGAGACCAATTGTCCTAGATCATTTTTTTTTTATAAAAATCAATGAAATGCTCAACAGATGAAAAGATTATTCTAGCTACCTATAATACAATTAAATTTTTGAGTTATAAAAAATGTGGTAAGTAAAATAATCTGATGTAAAAGGAAATGTAATTAGCTCATTAATTCATTTATATCATAAATTAGTCAGTAAAACATATTTTTAATTAGAAGTGTTGAATTTTTTAAAAATCAAGTTAAATTTAATTAACAAATCTGCTGAATCTAGTTTTTTTTTTTTTTTTGTTAATTGTCGAAATTTACCAAAAATAAAAAATTCCACTGTATTGTATCCATTATATTTACATATACCTATATCACTTTCTTGTTTTTTGTTGGAAATTTTTAAGGGCGCTCTGGACCAAATCAATTTAGTTTAAAATTAAAATTATTTTGTAAATGGATTTAAGTGATGAGTTGAATTTCAATATGAATTTAACCATGTTCAGAGTTAGAGGTGTTTTTAGTTTTGTCTAACCCTACAGACTCCTTAAATTAAGTCAGGGAGATGAAACTTTATATAAACATGGGTTTACTATTAAGGATGTGACTTTGAGGTTCAAATTTTAACTCCCCCACTCCTACTTTATTTATAATCAAATTTAACCATATTTAATAGTATAATTGCAATACAGTAGATATAGTATTATATTATTATAGTTTTTGGTATTTTTAAATTATTTTATTTTGTATGACAATTAGACTTTTATAAATGTGTAATAATTAATTATACAATATAAAATAGTAAAAACAAAATAAATAGACTATTCAATATATAGCATATACATTAATATATAACATTATAAAAGTGATCAAATCATTTTTCTTATGCATTATATTATTTATACAAAGTCTTTAGTTATTTAATAGTTTTGCAAAGAATATTTCTATTATACAAAATAGGTTGGAGAAAACTGAACTCTGGTGAGAAAGCTCTGTTATTAATAGTTGTTGTTTTATTAGATTTTGAATGTAGCAGAAAATGTATTGGTTTTAAAAAGATGTTAATTTTTTTTTTATGTGAACACTATGAAAAAGCTTACTATGTATACAATGCAGACCCTTTTTTGTTAAGAAATTTTCTTAGGGCTGTACTTTAAAGAGGTCATTTTTCGATTTTCTCAAGAGTTTCCTTATCAAATGTGAAAAACTGAAAATAAAAACTTGAAAATTTACCTAATATATTAGTAAAATAATATGAATTTTTTTTTTCTGTGGATAACTTTTCTACCAGCAATTTCGGTCAGATTTACAATGATAGCACTTCTTCTGAATGGAAATCTTACTGGGAAGGTACTCTTAGGAAATAATTTTTCAATTTTCTCAAGTTTTTTCAGCAAATGTGAAAACTAGGGGAAAAAATGGTAAAATTGGTACAATATTAAATAAATATTATTGAAGAAAATATATAATGCCTATTTAATTATTTTACTATTTGACAAATAGATTGTTGACAAAGCATTACTATCAACTGAACTGTGCTCAGAATCGTTTTTTGTTAGCAATAGTTTATCATTGTTTACAGATATACATTAAATTCCCTTCTATATGCTACCTTCCCAACTTCCCATCTACAACAGTGGCTACACCTGCGTGTGAAGTATGTCAGTCTTTTTTTTTTATTTTAAATACTAAATTAAATTAAAAATAATAACTAAATATCTATATTTTTTTAAATTTGTGATAGAATTCTCTTAATTATTATTGCAAAATAACAGTTCAAAAATAAAATTCAAGAGGGAATTTAAAAAGGTTTATTATTAAAGACCAATACAAAATTTAACTATAATATTATAATTAATTGTAATAAACATCTTTTGTTATTTTGTTTTACATTAAAGCTGATGAAAGACACAATAATTTGTTGTGTTATCTTACTGTAGAGTTAAACAAATTGTTAAAAAATAGTTAACTATGGATGTTCTAATTCTACATTGCCTTATTAGATTATGTCAAAACATTGTAGTCTGCAATCAAGTCATTAATATCAAAACAAAACATATCAAAATCAATAACTGTTTTAACAGAAATAGGAGTAATCAAGTTAGTAACTAATTAGTTTAAAAACTAATAACTAATATGCTTAAAGGGTTTACGAGCTTGATAAGTTAATGACTCATCACTTTCTCAATGTTAAATAGTACTCTTATAGTTTATAATGGAGTTATATTAAGCAAGTATGTTTATTTATAATCTATTTCAGTATTACTCAATTTTCTTGTGATGCAAAATTAAAAATATAACTAATTTCTCTTAAAAATATCATTACACAACCCATTTACTCTATGTAAATTTTAAATTATCAATATATTTATACAAAAGTATTTTAGGTATTAGAAAAAAAAAAAAATAATGTAAACCATTATTCATACATAAATTAAGTGAATTAAATTTATGGATACAAATATAAGGAAGTAAAAATAATTTATTATAAAATTGTAATAATATATGTTTTTAAGCAAAAAGTATAAATATAATATAAAAAAAGCCTAAACTAATTTATATTGTAAAATTAAATAAAGAATAATTATAAAAATAAATTATTATTATTTTCATTATATTACATGAAATATGTCTAATAATAAAATACTTTTAAAGTTGAGACTGGTTAGATGATTCTTCTTGGCGTTTAATTAACTCATAATAATACATTTTTTTGGCTTTTAGTTCTTCATGATTGCCTTGTTCAACAATTTTCCCATTGCGGACAACAGCAATAGAATCAGCTGATTGTATTGTAGAAAGGCGGTGAGCAATAACAATACAAGTACGACCTTTACGAGCATCATCCAATGCTTCTTGTACAACCTTGATATAATTAAACATTATAAAAGAATGTGCTTATTCCAGAAAAAAATTAACTTACTGCTTCACTTTCAGTGTCTAGAGCTGACGTAGCTTCATCTAATAACAGGATTTTAGGATTTCTTATTAATGCACGTGCAATAGCTACTCGTTGTTTTTGTCCACCAGAAAGTTGATTTCCACGATCCCCAGCTAATGTATCATATCTCTAAAAAAATATTCAATAATTATCTAAAAAATCTTTAAAATATGGTAAGTATCTATTAAAAAATATAAGTTATAATTTACTTGAGCTAAAGTTGTAATAAAACTATGAATATTTGCTTTTTTTGCAACATCAATTATTTCATCCATAGTAACCTCTCTATCATCTACTCCATATGTTATGTTATCTTTTATGGAACAGTTAAATAATACTGGCTCTTGAGTAACAAGTCCAATGTGTTTTCTTAGATGATATAAATTCATTCCTCTTATATCGTGGTCATCAACCTCCTGAATTAAATTAAATTTATCTTCAATATTATTATTTATTATTCTATATATAGTATCTTATATTTTATAGTATAAATTAACTTACAATAACTCCTTTTAAAGGATCATAGAACCTTTCAAGTAAAGATACAACTGTACTTTTACCACATCCAGATTCTCCTACTATTGCCAATGTTTTGCCTGGCTCAACTGTAAAATTAAGTCCACGCAAAACGCGTACATTTTGTCTAGATGGATATTTGAATCTCACATCTTTAAAGTGTACTTTTCCATTGATTTCCTAAAGTTTTACACACAAATTATGAATATATTTGCACTGTAGTTGATATATTCATTATAAGTATTTCATTTGAGTATGATCTTACAGGTTTGGATCCTGAAATTGATAGCGGATCAATTTCAGACTTTCTCCAAATTAATTGAAACATGAGGAGTGCTGCATTTTTTGCTCTAGCATAATCTTGAAGATAAGCTGATGACTGACCAACAGATGCAGCACAAAATGCCAATGCAAAAAACACTCTAAAAAATAAATTTAATAAGAAAATAAAATTATAAGTAATTATTTGAACTGCAACACTGAGGAGAATTATATAGCATTGCTTATAAGATATAATTATTATCAATCATTTGTATTAGGTACCTGTAAATATCTGTGGCAGACATTTCTCCAATTTCTACAAGATATGCTCCATATCTAAAAGCAACTGAATACATTCCATAAATAACTGCCTGAGAAACAGCATACATAAAGGCATATGATAAGGCTTGTTTCTTAGCTGATTTAAATGGATCTTCTAGACTTATTTCATATTGTTCTACAAACATTAACTCTTGTGCTAAACCTTGAACTGTTTTTATACTTGAAACTGTTTCAGATGCAATCTAAAATACATTTATAAAAATATACAAATGGGATAAACAGTGGATTTCACTAATATTTGAATTATACTCATTATATTTAAAGTAAAGTACTATTATATTTTAAGATTTAATAATAAAATCTTTCTTACCCGGCCAGATTCATCCATACATTCAGAATCTCGTTTTTGACTTTTTCTTACCAGCATTAGTTGTTTATAAGCAGCACCAGCAATTATTGGCACACCTAATACTAATACAATGGCTAATTTCCAACCAAAACTGAAAGCAATTATCAATGCAGCTGACAGTGTTACAAATGCTGATATTACTTGACCAGCTCTTAAACCACCAGCCTAATGAAACAATAATAATAGTTCTGTATATTTTTTTAAATTTAAATTTGATTACTTACAGATTTTACAAGTGGAGCATCTCTAGCTAATCTTGTTACAAGATTACCAGGTGATGAACTTTTCAAATCAAACCAAAATACTGGTTGGCGTAGTATATTTTCAAAGGCTTGTACTCTCATTCGCATAATGAGTTTCTCACAAGCACTAGTAAGTCCAAGAGTCTATACAAATAGCATGTAAAAATGAAATGTACATATTTTTTTTAAAATGTATAATTAGTTTACCTGCATCCACCAGGCTAATCCAGATAGTAGAGCCAATACAATAAACATTTTAGACCAAAAAGCTGCTTCTTTTAGTAATGCATCACCTTTAAGTGTAAATGTCTAAGCAAAAAATTAACAGATGATATTTATTGTAAATATAATTGTTCGACAATACTTACAGCAAACACTTGTCCATAAAAAATTGCAAAAATTGGCATAATAGCACCTGTTAAAGCACAGCCTGTGAAACCCATTAATAGCCATGGCCATTCTGGACGGTTGATTTTAAGTAAATCTTTAATGCCAACATTTTCAAATTCTGACTGAAACATAAAATTTATCAATATTTATTATAATCAGTTTAGCCCACTAGTTTTAAATATACTTATAAGCTAATTGTATAACACAAGAGTATAATAAACTAATACAGATAATATCTTACCAGATCATTTTCCCCATTTATAAATTGATAACCCTTTCTAGAAGATATATCAATTTTTGATGATTGATTAAATCCAATATAACTTTCTATATCTGAAGTTTCCCATCTAATATAACCAAAACACAATAGTTTATACAACTATTATCAATTTAGAAATGATATATAATGTAGTATATAATTACTGAGAATAATCATCAGGTTGACTTAATTGACTTATTAAAGCTCTTCCTCTCAAACTCCTTGGACGGTAACTAGATGATTTATCTAGTTCGCTATCTGTGCTGTCCTAAACGTTTGAATAGTATTTTTAGATGCTGACATTTAATTACACACATCAATAAAAATTACTTGATCAGAGAAGATAATTCGTTTCACTTTACTTGAAGATACTTTTCTAGTAATATTTACTAGATTTCCATCAGAATTTTCAGTGATGAAACTATCTGTGAATACTTTTTCAGGCTCGATATTCTTTTCTATTACAGATATCTTTTTTGTTGTCGTTATTGTTGTTACTTCTGTCCCATCTTCTTCAATTACAGTTTGAACACTTAAAATAAAATAGTTTAAATTAAACTACTAAAAATATTTGTAAAAATGAAATTAAAGAAAAATATTATTCATTATTATTATATACTCGGTATTTTCATCAGATTCAACATCTTCAATTTCATAATGAGGTTCAAGTTCTGGACTCTGAATAAAATCAAATAAAAATAACTTAAATACATATCATTCTATAATAATTATTCTTTTTTACTTTTATACTAGTTTGTCGTTTTATAGACATGAGTTTATCGTCTTTGTCGTACTTCGTTATTTCTTCATCAGATTCAAATAAGTAATCTTCGTTGTCTTCATCATTTTCATGTTTCATTTGAGCATTAAATAAATTTGAATAGAAACCATTCTTTTCCATTAAGATATCATGTGTTCCAGACTCCACAATGCTTCCATTCTATTTAAAAAAAAATAAAATAAAAAAACTTGGATCATAAAATTACATTAAACATCTATAATATTACTTGTAAAACATAAATAGTATCAACATTTCTTATTGTAGATAGTCTATGTGCAATAATAATAGTGGTTCTATCTTGTTGTGCCTTTTCTAAAGCGTCTTGTACAATTCCCTCACTTTGTGCATCTAATGCTGAAGTAGCTTCATCTAATAATAATAATTTTGGATCTTTAACCAAAGCTCTTGCTATGGCAATTCTTTGTTTTTGACCACCAGAAAGTTGAGAACCTTTTTCTCCTACTAATGTATCATAGCCCTATACAAGTTTTATAATTAGTTCTGAACTTTTAAATGATATTTCTTATCAACCTTAGGTAATTTAATGATGAAACTATGAGCATTTGCTGTCATAGCAGCAGCAATAATATCTTGTTGGGTACAATCTGATTGTCCATATCTGATATTTTCAGCAATAGAAACACCAAATAATATTGGTTCTTGAGACACAATTCCAATATTGGAACGGAACCAATGTAAATTTAAATCTTTAATATCAAAGTTATCCAACAGAATCTAAAATAAATATTTAATTATTTTTAGTTTTATTATAATATTTTATAAGTCATACAAATTATGAATTAATTTGGCTTACTTGACCTTCGGTTGGATCGTAAAAACGTAATAATAAATTCCCAATTGTACTTTTACCACCTCCACTAGAACCTACCAATGCAATAGTTTGCCCGGGTTCAATTGTCAGTGATAAGTTATTTAGAACCTATAAATACAATTAAAAAATAACTTATTACTTAATACAATTAATATTTTATAACTTACTGATACAGTGTTTCTAGTTGGATATGTAAAGTTTACATTTTTAAATTCAACTTTTCCTTGAATTTTTTTAATTTTCTTGCCTTGTGACGAATAAGGATCAATTTTAGGTTTACTATCAATTATATCAAATATAGTTGATGCTGCACCAATAGCTATACTCACTGAATTTATAAATGGTAAAGCATTACCTACAGAAAATGCTCCAGCCATTACACTAAAGAACACCTATGGTACATTAATCATAATAATAAATTATTATTATGATAATATTAATGATTAATTTTTAATTTACTGTGAATATGCTTCCAGGTGATGAAATTCCTTCTACAATTAAATTTGATCCATACCAGAATGCTATTCCATATGCTGAATACATTATTACAAACACAGAGCCCAACATAAATGAAAACACATAATATTTTTTCATAGCTAATTTTCGACCTTCATCTATAGCTAATTTATATCTATATAATATTAATTCATAATTTGTTTCAAATGTGTGTACAAATATTTTGTTTTAAATATGCAATCAGACCTATTACCTTTTAGATTCTTTGAGTTCTCCTCCAAATGCAGCTATAGTTCGAATATTTGACAAGACTTCTTCAGCTATACCTCCAGCTAAAGCATATTTAGCTTGCTCTCTAGCTGCTGTATTTGCTGAAATCTACAATGATTATAAGATTAATTTTAGCAACATTATTTTATTTATTTTTATTTTAATAAATTACTGAGGAAAGAGCTCCTGATACTGCAATCAACACTGGTGCAACACAAAGTATGATTAAAGTCAATCTCCAATTGACACAAAGTCCAACAATCAGACCCGTAAAGAAGGTGCTTACGTATTGTGTAACCATACTAAATTTACTGCCAATACCTTCACGAATTCTTTCCAAGTCACTAATAAAACAAAATAAATCATTATAAAAATTGTTTAATATTAAATAAATAATTTTTAACATAAAAATAATTCCATACTCTGACAGCTTTGTAGTAAAATCTCCACTGTCACTCAAATCATACCAACTAATTTCCTGTCTGAGTATTTGACGATAAAATACTTTACGCAACCGATGTACTTGTCTTTCACATGCTATTTCCCAGCAATATGTCTTAAAAAAAATTATATCACCTATTATTTTAAAATTTCAGTAATTTTTTAATTTAATATTTTACTTGTATAAATGCAGCAATTAATACTCCAATTCCAATGTATAGGTAATACAAAGAAAACTTAGTCATATAATTATAAAATTCTTCAGGACTTAATGCATCATTATTAGACGAGTAATTAGGATTCATCGTTGTTAGCCTAGATTAAAATATGTATTAAAAACGTTTTTCAATATAATCTTTACAACTCACCCTAAATCAGTTCCCGTGATTGTTTGAGCAGTAGTCAATCTTTCCATTTCTGACATAAAAAAAGCGCCAAGTGAAGAAGTTTTATCATTTAAGGGTGAATTTGTTGTTGTATCACTTGAGTTTAATAGATTCTGCGTTGTCAATTCGGGAATATTGTGAGTAGAAGAAACCTAATGATAAATATTAATAATATATATTGACAAAATACTTTGCTTTAATGTAGGTAATATGTACATTGCCAGTAATTGAGTACCTATTGCTATAAATAAATAGTTCTAAACTACCTTTATTTTTAAATAATCCTTAGTACATTTTTATTTAAACCTGTGTATTTCAAAATTGTAGAAACAATAGTCCAAAAATAAATTAACGAAAACCATTAGTATTGTAGTTACACGTTACATTTTGAAATTTAAGTATTTTTTAATATTTTCATTTTTATTTCATCATAAGTACAAACTACAGTTAATAAGTAAAAATGTAGTTTAAATAATTTTAATTATTTATTTCTTATTTACTACTATGAACACAAACTCAGAACTTGCAAAATTTCATGGATGCATAGTCCATAGTCCATCACTGAAAAGTGAAAACTTATAAATATTATACTCATATGAAATGAAAAATGGGGCACTTATTTGTTTACAGCCTAAGGGTGCTACAACACATTGTATGTTTTAATCCGGTCCTGTACATACCATTGATTGTTTGATAAAAGTATTGGTCATTTGGCCAAATACCAATGCCAACACTGGAAAACTTGATCCATGAATAGCAGAGCATACAATACCAATGAACATAAGTGCCACATCAGCTCTGCTGGCATATCGGAACTAGAAAATATAAATTGTAACTATATATGATTACTTATGTTAAATATAATTATTTGTTGAGAAAACTTAATTGAATAGATAGGTAATAGTTCTCAAGAATTTGTTGAATCTGAAGACATAAATATAGGTATTTCACTATATAAAATGTTTATTGATGGTAAAAATAAACATAGGAAGGTACCTATCTAAATGCCTAATAATATTTTAAAGTAAGCGTTAGTTTTATTTATTAAAAACATAGATAAAATTTAATTGTTGACAAAAATTAGATAAAGTTAAGTACACCAACAAAATCATTAAATATAAACTCGAAAATTAAATTTAAATTTAGCTTTGATTGCTTTAAGTACCTATATATGATTTATGATACAAATATGTCAACTGTCAAAATTATATTTTTTATTTAAAACATGATAAATAATTACATTATATTTTCATAAATCGAAAAAAAATTATTATTTAAAAAGGATTTGATAATTTATATTTCTTTGTTAAAGAATGTTTTATGATTTTAAATTAATGCAGGGTTAATGAGACTATCTCAAGCATTTGATAGAATGTAATATAAAGACATTTCAACCATTTTCCTTTTAATTACTAGGTACTTTATAGATCACCACTTTCATATACACGTTATGAATCTTCGACCACACATGGTATCTGCAGATACAGATAGGTAGGTACAACTAATGCCAGAGTACCTAAATGAGGTATTTTTTCACCTGTACAATATTCAACATTTATGCATCTGATCAGCCCACAACACACAATTGGTACTCTTGTTGCCTACTATGACAAAGTGCCTTATCCTATCAATGCATTGATATCAAATATTTCGATTAATTTGCAAGCTCATCTAAATTCAATGTCAGAATGGTGGGTACATGAATTAAATGGCGAATGAAACTTAATCATAATTCAATCCGCCTATACAATCGTTGTTCTTCACTTTAACACAGTCTCTGCCCAAACACTGGTAAGTAAATATAGTAGGTAATTTTTTTTTTTTTTCTTGTCCGTTCTCATTAATAAACTTTATTAAGGTCTGTTTTCACATGTCCGTTACGTAAGTACGGGCCGTCAAAAATAATAATTATCGTTGACATTCGTTTTAAATGCATCTATTCTCACTTGGACGGAACGGACCCGTTCCCGGATGACCGGGTGATGTCCGCGAAGAATAAAATACAAGCTCTTTTCACGACGTTTACCCAACAAATTACCACCGCCCCGAAAAAAAAAAAATCATGCCGATTGTAATGTATTTCAGATTCGGGTAAACTCGCCCGCGCATGAGATTCCGTTACGCGCCCGATTACACGTCCCGAGTGCGTAACTACGGACACGCGGAAATCGACTTTTTTATTGGTCTTGAACCATCAATATCTAATATGTAGCTGACGGCATGCAGAATCGGCTCGCCAGTCACGGGTATTGGGTACCGGCATGTGTTTACATACCGGTTTTTTTCTCGGCACACCGTCTTTTCGATAAATACCGTGTATTTCGATAAAATATACCGTCGTTCGGTAAATACCGTATTTTCAATAGACACTATCGTTTCGCCTAATAATTAGGTAATAGCTATGCCAATTTAAATCTATCCTCGTCGAACATGTCGTGTTAATTAACATCCATCCATTTGTTAATGAGATAGGTTTATTACGTAGACGCCTAAATAACACATTGGAACTTTTCTTGCCCACCAACTATACGGGATTGCCCGGTCACACGGTATTCACCGAATATATTATAGTTTAACGGTATTTCTAAATACCTAATGCGTAACGCGGACTAAGAGCCGTTCTCACCAACGTAGAAAAAAAAAAAACGTTTATCCGATTCTTAAGCTGAGTGTATGACTGATAACCGACCACGGATCGGTCGATTATCTTATAAACTCGCCTAAGATGCACAACACAGGACACGAGTACACAACATGGCTCTGGTGGGTATGGGTGCGTATGTCTATGAAATTTTGTACAGAGCGATCATAATATCGTACGTAAGACACTCGTTATTATGAAAAGCATATACTTTTTCGGGAATTCGTTTTCTAGAATATTTTAAAAACAAGCCGATCTACAATTTTATATTTATGTTTTTTTTTTTTTTTTTTGTCACCTTTAATTTTGGGTGAAACTACGGTAATTATCGGTTTGTCGGTATTTCCGACTACCGGAATTTTAAATCACCGGTATACCGAAAATACCGTCAGCTCCACGGTATATTATCAGTAATATTTAATATAATAATATTGAACGCAAAATGTGTTCTTGGAATTTCCCGATAATTTTACTTTTATGTTGCTACGCGAGTTTAACAATACGATAACACAATCAATTTAGAGTAATCATATTGTTAATCGACAACATGAACCAAGATGATATCTTAATTGAGTGATCATCTTAGTTCATGATCGACAGTAAATTATATTACTGTCAATATTACATAATAATATGATATGGCGAACAAACTTATTCCATCAAACATTGTTTTTATAATTCCATTATTCTGTTTTAAAATTAATTTTTAATATTTTACCTACAATAAATATGATTTTTTTTTCAATTTGTTTGTACTTAGGTATTTGCATAGTTCGCCTAAATTTACTTCTAATAATTTCCGTGCCCTAATAATAAGTACTTATTACGCTAGCCATTCAAACCAGACTATGTAATTATGAGAATATAAATAAGTACCGAATAACCGAATGATATAAGGATCATTAAACAACTATAATAACAATTAAATCAGGCAAACATAATATTTTGTATCAAGTTCCACCCCCGACATATGGGCCGATATTTTATTATAACTGTTTATAACTTGTTACTCCAGAATACAGGCAACCGATGTTATGGTTGAATGATTTCTGTTTTAAGCAGTGGGTAATATTAGACGTATTTGTTGGGCCGGAATTTGAACGAACCCGTACAAATATTTTGAATACGATTTTTTGTATATAGATTATGGTAGGAACGTAGATAATAATAACAATTTATTAGGTACCTAGTTACCTGTTTAAGAAAGTAAGAAAAGTAAAAAGTATACATATTTTGTAACTCGATTAATTTTTAAAAACTCACTTATATGGTTATTAAAAATGGATAATACGTAGAATATTATAAATTCTAATTATTTAATAATCCTATAGATTCTATAGCAGTACGTATACTACAAAGTACAAATCATAAATTATATAATAAGCGTGTTTTGATTTTTGTTTTAGGCCGCAGCCACCGATGTTTTTCAGAGATCTCTCAGAGATCTCAAGATGTATTAAGCATTTTAATAATTTTGTTTTTACTTTAATATTTTATAACCAAATTGTATTTAAAATAGAAGTTCATATACCTATTTATGGAATTGTTAATACAGACAGGTTGTTATTTGATGATCAAAAGTAGGTAGTGGTTGTGTTATCTATAAAAAGCCGACGAAAAAACGATTCTGAGTGGAGTTCGGTTGATAGTGTTCCTTTGTCAACAATATGTATGTATGTCATAATATGGTCAAATAATTACATAAGCATTATATATTTTCTTTAAGAGGACGTTATACTTGTATCTACTGTCTCAGTCTAACTACCGGGTAACATGCAACAATGCTTACGCAGAACAAGTCAAACTAGCCTAATTTTGATTTTAGAGTAAAAGTACCTATTATGAAATGTATAGAAAATAACATTTTAGAAGAATTTATATAGGTGTTTTTTGAATTGTGAACTATTAAATAAGTTACAGTTATGTAAAAAAAGAAAAAAAACAGGTTTTTGTATCTTTTATATTGAGTTGTATGTTTTGAAATATACAAAAACCCGATGACATTCCCTCCGAAATATTCTTCTCTATAAATTTCATAATAGATATTTTGACTTTAAAATTAAAATTAAGCTAGTTTGACTTATTCTGCGTAAGCATTGTTGCATGTTACCTGGAAGTTGGACTGAGACAGTAGATACGGGTATAACGCCATTTAGTATTCGTTTAATATTTTACTAATTTTCCCGGTTTTTCGTTTATTTTTTTTGAAAACTTCTAGGAAAATCAAAAAGTTACCTTTCTAAAGTACCACTTCAATCAGATTTCCTTTCAAAATAAGTGTTATCATTTTAAATTGGAGAAAAATTACTGGTAGAAAAGTTGTCCACAGAAAAAAAAAAAAAAATGAATTCACATATCTTTATAAAACTAATACATTCCTCGCTCCACTCAGAATCTAAAATAAGGATGAAAAACATAACTTTTCAGAATTGCTTATTTCTAAGATTTTTTAATAACAAAATTTCGAATAAATTAATAATTTCAAAGGCAAAGTCAATAGCACACACAGAGAGAGGGAGGTAGGGGGTCAAAAATCTCTCAAAATGTCTTTCTTCACTAGGTACATTTTATTAAATCAAGTTTTACATTCAACAACTTAATATCTTATACCACACGATGAATTAAAATTTAATTTCATCAAAAACCATTTATTCAGTAATAATAATGATAATACTGTACTGATAATATTAGTGTGCTATTGTATAATATGATAGTGTCTTAACGAGAATTGATCATTCTGTAATCTGTGTAACTATCCGGTGTGTATACAAAATTCCGTACACATTTCTTCTCAACATCCCATCTTAAGAAGTAAAAGAATGTAATGTCTGTAATAATATATTTTGCTAAGGTCAATGTTATATATTATATGTTCACTAGTAGGTAACAACTAACAATATTGTCGCTGTGATTATATAACAAACCACTTCCTTCAAATTCCATTAAAACCTGTTATTAGTTGTTTTACCCACGTAACTATTTATAGTACCTATAGAATATATTATTGTAGGTATGGTACATACGATTTTGTATAAATAGCTACGAGCTTCTTCATAAAGAAAATATTAGTTAACATATTATTAAAATAACGTATTATATAGTCAGAAAATAATTTTAAAAACACCATTATTATACTTACCAAGCCACTAATAGAATTTTTTTTCTCTTCATTTTTTCGCAAAGTCCTATAACAACAATAGTGAAATAAATAAATGCACCTAACACATAGTATACAATTATTTCTACAAACTAAATTATAAACTATTTTGTCAACTAAATTAATATTATATGATATATGATAGGAAACACGATTAGAGTTGGCTTACGTAAGAATTAAAATGTTCTGGGCAAAAATAAATGGGTAGTTTTAAATATCTTTATAGTCAATAAATCATAGTAAATAAGTGTATTCAGTATTTTCAAATGAAATTTTAACAATTGATAACTGACGAATAATATACTGCCATTTGCATTTAAACTTGTCAATTTTTAAAATTTTTACTTATTTTACCTATTTACTAAGTAAATAAAACAATATCTGAGAAGGTAGATATTAGTATAAATATTTTAATGTTTGATAGATATTCTTTGTTGTTTTATCTTAACTTTTTCCTATAAAAACTATGTTCATATTATTATATTATAGTTTAAGTATTAAATCTAAAACTCATTTTCGTTGAAAAACTACGGATAATGACACACATTATTGTACTGACAGCATATAATAATACTTATCTATTAGAAAGAGATAACAGATTAACGGCCGTTCTTGCAATATCTGGTAGTGTTAGTGAATTACTAAGAAAAAATTAGGTACTTACAAGTTACGACCATAAATATTTTAATATTTATTTTTTGGTTACAAACATACGACAAAAATAATTAATCAGTAAATGTGTTTATATCTGAATGCTAATAGCAGATGTATCAAATATATTATATAATAGTCAAATACACCAAAATAATAATAGCTTTTATCTTGATAGGTTAAGGAAGTCATCTTCATTGATATAAAAAAAAATATATACAGACAATAGATTTTTATAGAATTAATTATACCAGAACTATTACATGTTATCCATTGACCATTAATCTCATGTTTTCAGATTATTTTTCTACGATAAAATAATTTCTAACATATTTGTATTATTTATTTTATTCAAAAATTCATGAAATAGCACAAATGAAAATCATAATGCTAAATAATTTCACTATTTACTTGTTTACTGGGCAAGTATTAAAGAATTTTTATGTTAACCATACCTAATTGTTTACACATTTATCATCCAAAAAAGGGCAAAAATAAAAACAAAAGGTAAACTGAAATAAATATCCCGAAACTTTCTTAAGCCTCCTAAACAGTTTAAGCATATTTTCAACCCCTCCCTAGGAAATTGTCTATAATCGCTTCTGTATCAGTACTCCCAGCATAAGTATAGCTTAAAATTAATTATTTTAAAAACTGTTATAAAATAGTGACTAAATAGAGCCTAATATTGAAAACGAAAAAAATAATAAATAACTCTAGTCTCACGAATGACATATGAAATAAATTTTAAAATCTTAGGAACATCAATTATGTTACATTATGTCACTATATAAATAGTAAATATACTAATAGAGATATTATTTATTAATTTCATTTATAAGTCTTTAATATCTATTGAGAACTTACTGTCCGGGTCAAATACGAACAATTATTGTAGTTTTTTTTATTTTTTTAGTTTCTAAGTACAGCAAGGAATGCATTGGTTTTACTATAAAGTATTATACAAATATTGAAAGGTTCAATGTTTGGTTAATATTGAAGAAAACTTCAAAATGTTCGGGTTTCGTTCATTAATTTCTAAGACCATTTTTTTTATTAGGATTTAATATTTTTAAAATGTATAGTTAGTAATGTTTACCTACATGGCTACATGAATTTTTGCATGTAAACCTTGAAAAATAGCATTTTTTAAATTAATTCAATATTTGTTTGATAGCCGAAAATTTACATTATTAAAGAAATTACAGAGGTGCGTGTGTGGCTGACTACACCTACAGGCCGGCTTCGCTCACCAAATAAAGTGACAATGTCAGCCTTCTTCGACTTTCGATAACAGCTTATCTAACTTAAATTTCTCACCGGATTCTGCTGAAAATAAGATAGTTTTGTGAATGTAAATCTAAACCTCTTGTCGGCCTTTAAATTGAAAATAAACGCCGATTTTTTATCAGATAACAGGAGAAAAACTAAAAAAGGACGTTGAATCAGCGTTGAATAAATGTTACTTTTTTCGAGTTTAATATAAAAAAAAAATTTAAATACCTTCGATAATACTAGTGGATTAAGCATTAAAAACTGCAAATTTTTAACAACACATTTTTTGAATAAAACATTAAGTTCTAACCAAAAACCAACGCGCAACAGGAAACCTTAACTTTTCGAAATTTTCTCCCATAACTTCCAAACGAAGTTTATCCGGCTTTTTTTAATGTTTTTAGTAATGTGTGCACAAAAGCTTACATTTTGACAAAAAAAAAAACCGCTAGCTAGGTATACTAAATTGGAATCACGCCAAATTTAAAATTACAAAACAAAATGTAATACATAGATATCTATTGTATTTAAAATAATATTGTATAAATAATATAATTGGTAGGTAATTAATTTTTTATTTACCTATATATGAAAATATAAATCCAAATTTAATGACTTTAAATGGTATTTAAAACTGTACTCATTGGCATCTAAAACTTGGGAGTGTTAAAATTATTTAAATTAGGGTATCACGGGGGGGGGCTTTGCCCCTCCTCAATCTATTCGACATTTCGAAATAGTTATATATTACATGCACATTAAATAAAAAAAATTTAAATTAAGTTCAATAATGGATCTTTCATTGTTTAATAAATAACCAACAAGGGATAGGTACCTCCTCAAAAATATGAAAACAATTAACATAAATTTACATAATAATATAATATAAATTATTAATTATGTATACCTATAGATACATAGTACTATAGTACTATTTGATTAGGTATTATATTTATTTTATTTAGCTCAAAATCTGGGGGTTGCTAATTTTATATTTAGAAGTGCTAAGCGTCCCCCGTACGCACACTAATGAATAGTCATAAAAAAAAAAAAACGAAAAATATAGGAACATATAGGTTTATAAATTATAAATATAATCAAATATTAATATCAGATTCCGATATTTTCTATATAAATGTAAATATACGTTTCAGTATACCTGTTTATTCATTCGAAAGACTGATGACGTAATTGATTAATTATAAAATAGATTGGTAGTTAATTATAATTTATAAATAAATAGGTATTTACCCGTATTTCGTGTGAGTAGTGTTTCCATCTTTACATTTTAACAATCCGATACATTCATCATTCTTCTTACTGAACGCCATGTAAGTATATTACAAAAAATAGTACACCTTAAAAATACTGTTAATTGAATCGAAATGCAGAGTTGTATTTATTTAAGTACATTTACAAAATAGAAAAAAAAAAAAGAACGAATTATTCAAAATTATTTTAATATCCTCTGTATAAGTAAATTGTAGGTATTCGTTATAAATGAATAAAGGTATATTAATAAACAAATCGCGAACGTAAGATACCAAACGTTTTGTTTTTATGTGTAGGTGTACCTACTGAACTGAGGTCCTCGTGATTTTTACTTGGAGCGCTAAGCGAATGCGCGATTGGTTTACTTCCACTACCTAATTCTTCTCGCTGTAAACTTGTATATTCAACCGCATTCGACGAGCAGTAAAAAAGAATATGTATATAAATTCCCATGTTAGTAGGTACCTATATTGTGTTACGTAATACTATATTATATTTAAAATGCCAATAAGAACACTGTATAAATTAATAATATATTTTTAATAATCATTATGATAATAGGTATCTAACTGATAACCTTCTTTATTGACAGCTTCCAATTAAATATTGTATTATACACCCGTAATTAATTATAGTTAATAAGAGAACTGACTGTTGAGTATACGGTGGGTCATTTTCTCTCAGATTTCAGTAGCCAATAAAAAAAAAAAATAATGTCATACAATATTTTTTTAAACCGTATTCCGTACCTACTGTACAAAATGTAAAATAATAAATTTTAAATTTTAATACATTACAGCTATAAATTATATTATAGCCATTGATAGAATAGTCTGTTTTATAATCAATGTTGTAGCCTACATAGGTAGAGGTACCTGTAATGATATATGTTTACATATGCTATAATTTTCAAATATTACGACCTCTTGTTTAAGGATTTAAAACAGGGTCGGCGTTACTGAATTTTTTTAGGTACGCAAAATCGTAATTTTTCGTACTTATTATCTAATCTACTAGAATTGTATTGTATAGAGGTTAATATTTTTAATGATCAAAAAAGTCATAAATTCCTTTGAGCCGATTCGCCTCTAATCAATTATTTTAAAATTTGAAAATGTGTTTTCAAAGGTACATTAGTCTACGTATAGGTTTGTAACCTAATCGTAAATGCTTATCTGCAATTTTGTTCTAATATTTATTTTTATTTTTTTGTTCCATACTTATATAAATTAAATCTTTGTAAATTATTTACACAAAACAAATACTTTAAAGTCTATTATATTATAATATTATGTATACATCCGAGTTTGATTTAACTGAATGTACAAAATAAATAGTGAATATAAATTTGAAAAAACCTGATATACTTCACACGATGGGTACCCAACAAACACTGTGATGTAAATTAGACGTCTAATATACCAATAAGTCATCATAGACGTAAGACGTATAATATATGATATAGAGTTAGTCGGTAGATGTCTATGATAAGTCTCAGGCTGGTCATGCGGTAATTTTTTAGTACCTATATTCAAAGATGTCTACCATACAGTATATAGTTACTATATTATAGTACTTATAGTAAATCAAAGTCATTGGATCATTAGATGCTTAAAGTAGATTTTATGTTACTTAAGAGTAAAATTGGCTGAATGTTTAGTAAATGTTAATTTACAATATTAAATATTCGACTGCATCCGAGTTCCGTCCCAAATGAAAAATTTGAATCTGGGCCGAAATTTTTAAAATGGATATACCTATTCCGTTCAATGTTATTTATTTAGCTATTCGAGTCCTGTCCAGTGTAATTTATTTAGTCACACGAGTTCAGTCCCGTTTCGCATTTTCTACACTATATTAATATATAGGTAGTATACAATTTATATATACTTACGGTAAAAATTGTATATTATTTAGAAATAATGATAATATTGTTTTCAGTTATCACACTAAAAAATTGAATTTGTATACGTTAATCCTTTTTATTGTATTTTAACATTGATGAGAAAAATGTCTATATAAATTATTATTTTTTTAATTATATAAATTTAGTCCAATAACAAATTTTTATTTATGAAAGTATATACAACGTTTAAATTTTTTGTATTGAACATTGATAAGAAAATTTTTAATCGGGACGGAATTGGTATAAAAAAAGGTTATTGGGACGGAACTTGGATACAGCCAAATATTCAATTAATATTTTCTTTTCGTTGTATTTTAAATCAAAAATAAATATTTACCAAAACTTATATATTGGGAATTATTACTTAGGACCTACCATAGGTACTAGGTAGATATTAAATTATCATTCTTAAAAATCCTGTACTCAAAATATACTATATTTTTGCATAATATTTTATTCAGATTTAGATTCTGAGTGGCGCGAGAAATGTAATCCTAATTGGTAATTGGTTTTATAATGATGTTTTTCTAAAAGGAAATTTGACAGGAGAGGTACTTTAGGGAGGTCTTTTTTTGATTTTCCCAGGAGTTTTCCCAATAAATTTGAAAAACCGAGAAAATAGATACAATATTAAACAAATATTATTAAAGAAAATGTTTAATGCATATGTAATTATTTTACCATCATATGACATAGCTAAAATACGTATATTGTTGACAAAGCAACACAATTAATCAAACTCTGTTTAGAATTTTTTTTTCGTTAGCATTGCGTACAGCTGATATAGATATATTAAATTTCCTCTCTACTACCTTCCCAACTTTAAACCTACAACAGTGGCCCTCTCATGTGCGAATTATGTCTGTCTTTTTAAAACAAAAAATTCACATCTATTTTTTTTTTGTTATTCATTTAAGCAGTTAAAATTAATGATAGGCGATTCGCGGTTAAGTTAGCAGTTTAGTATTTAAACATTTCCGTTCTTAAAAAGTCTTAATTCCTATTATTTGCCGTTGACTTAAAATTATTCACACGAGTGTCTTTAATCGACGATTGTATCGTTTTACAAAACAAACTTGATCTTTCGGTTAATTAGTGTCAACAGTGGGGAATGAAGTTAAACATATCTAAGTGTCACTCAATGAGCTTTTATAGAATACGCAACCCAATCACATTTAATTATAGTACCAATAACAACGTACTCGACTGTTAAAGACCTTGGTGTAACTTTTTTATATGATTAATGTTTTCGTGAACACATTGAGTCTTTCGTAGAAAAATCTTTACTCTTAGAAGATATACAAACCCGACTCAAGTAATAATTAATAATCAACCAATTATATGGATTAATAAGGATCAATCCATTAAATACCTTGGAATTTTTCTTAACGAAAACCTAACATGGAAATTTCACATCAATAAAAAACTAAACCAAGTCTATACCCGGATGAAAATGTTATATCCATTAATAAACCACAACTACAAATTAAATGTTTACTTCTGATATATATCTCATTAATTAGACCTTTGTTAACATATGCTTGTTCAGTCTGGGCCGCCATATCCCAAATTAAATTGAAAAAACTACAAACAATACAAAACAAATTGCTCAGAATAGCCCTTGAAGCACCCTGGTTTATGCGTATAAGCAGCTCCATAGTGACACCGGTATACCATATCTAAACACACGAATCAAGGAAAAAATAAGTTATTTCACTTAAAACTGAATTTAACTGATGGTGCACTTCATTATAAAATTGGGGAGCAAACAATAAGTTGCAGACTAAAACTATGTCTTCCGCAAGATGTCCTGTTACTTATGAAGTCATCCGAATCGGAATCTGGTTCGTCGTAACTACCTATTACCCAGTACTTTATTTATTTTTACCTCTATTTACGTTTATCTATTAATTAAAAATTTATATTTAATTACTGTAATTACCATTGTAAAAACATAAATATGTTGAAACAGTTAATAAAATAATAATAATTAATAAAAGTTAGATGACCAAATCCAAAATACTTTTATTTTAACGTTTTAAGCGACGTTTTGCAAGCGGTTTGATCATTTGCTTTTTCTATATTAATGTTTTTATTTCGATGAATGTTTAAAAGTGATAAGCCAGTTATAGCCACTGCTTAAAAAATTTTTTTTTTATCATAAAGTACTACTTAATTAACCTCATGTAAGTTCTCAAACATGTCTGTTTGGTCTAACAATTTTATCCAGAGAGTACTTACCGAATAAAAATTACCTACAAAAAAAACAAAATTAAAGTATCTATAAATTGCACAAAAATTTTACCACGTCAAGAAAAGGCAAATTGTGTAAGTTTTTTGTCCAAATTTCAAATCTCTACGAATATTTTTAACTGAATTACAACAAAAAATAAAATTGAAAATAATAAAAACATTATTTTCGTAAATGTTCCTGTTTTTCTTACGTTTTACCTTGGGTTTTATGATACTATGAAAACTGCTTGGGAAATAAAAAAATGACCTTCCCATAGAATCATCTAGTCAATAAGACAATAATTTCTTTCAAAAAAGGTCCCACACTCTTATATATTAAAAAATATATCTGGTAGACATTTTTGTCACAATAAAAAAAAACATCATTGTTAATCCAATTGGATTAACAATGGATCCAATGGGGGATCGCCCCCCCCCCCACACACTCTTTCAAAGATGTACCTGGATTATCGTTGCTTAGAGATATACATTTAATTCCCTTTTGTATCCGACTTTCCCAATTTCCACCTACAACAGAAACGGTGGCTACATCCGACCCCATAATCTTAGAACAGCTTTTTGAGATTTATTCGTATATTATTGAGTAGGTATATTCGTAATGGAAACATTAGATAACGATATTATGGCAGCTATTGGTAGCTTAGACTAGTGGCAATCAATTGTTTAAAAATTTGGGTGAGAAAGCGTAAAAGAAGTATCTATATGGGTGAAGGAATAGTTATCGAAATAATCTTTTGATTTGATATACCAAAGACGTCTTACTTTCATTTAATTTAGAAATTCTTTTATAAATTCACGGCTCACTTTAAAATGAAATAAACGTTTGCTTGAAGTTTGAAAGCTAGTTCAAAATCAAAAAAACAAACAAAATGTTATAAATAGTGGTATCGCATGAATTCTCAAGATCTTAGATTGCCATCATATGTGCGAATTTGAACAGTACAGTTCGGCTTTGGCAGTTTTTCCTTTTGAAATTCCGGAAAGAATTTTTGACCAGCACAGACTGACAGCCCGAAATAGGCCTTATACCTTAAGGCTGACCTAACACACGTGAAGAAAATCTTCAAGGTTTGTAATGCACAGTCTGGATTTAAATAATACACATCGACACACAAACACATTATGGACATCATAGAGATCATGTTTGTAGCCTAAGTAAGTCATTGCTTACTGTAGGTGTAGGTTATTCTTGATTTAAATCCTGGAATGACCGAGTGAATGTTGGTGACCGAAGTCCCACAGACAAAGTCGTACTCATTAATCGTTTATTTAAGTAGTTGTTAATTTCGAATACATATTTGGATTATTTTAAATTTAGATTTATAAGGCAATTTCAAAAAATAAATAGGATTGTGATGTATAAGTATAAAGCATTGAATCGAGTAAAAAATTAAAAAAATAGGAGAAATTGAATACCATAAACGTATAAACATTTATATCTAAGGTGAACACCTATTTTTATGATCTCTTTGGTATCAACGTTTATTATATCTTTGGTTTGGCCGTTAAATTTTGTCATGACGGTGATTAAACAATTCTACGAACTAACCAATCAAAAAACATTGGTTCAGTAATCGATTTTACATTCAGTTTTTTGGTTCTTTTTCCTTATTAATGCATTTTTGTTATTCTCAACACTAGTTAAATTTTAAATTACCGTAGTATTAAAAATTCAATTTCTCAAATACTTAAACCTAGTTTACTTTACTTTAATTTAATTTAACCATTGTATGACTATTTATTGTGATATTTGATAGTTCACTTACTTTATAATTTTGTATTTTGTTTTTTACATTTTTGGAAAACGTTTTTATTCTGCAACCAGTAAGTTCCTTATTTTTTATACAATGGCACAAAACGTCAATCCTAGACTTGAAAGCAGTTCTTCAGACTCTCCAAAACGAAGTGAGGACATGAATGACAGATTTGAATCAAATAAAGTTGTTCAAAGGTAATTGATTTCTATGAAAATATTTAGTCTACGCCATTTTATAACTATAAACTTTTTTATGTATTATTTATACAATTTATCTATTATTTTTGTTTTAGATTACAAAAAGAATTGATGAGTTTGATGGTAAGTTTGATAAATTAGTACCTTCCTATTTGTATTTAACATTACCTAATATATTTAATTGTTATGTGTATATTTACCTATATGAATAAGAGAATTAGATAACAAATTATATAAGTGTTGTAATCAGTTATGAAAAGTAATTTTAAATAAGTAAATGGAGTTTCCGTAACTTCAATATAAAAATTTAATTAAATTACCATTTTAAGTAACTTAACATAAATATACAATATAAATATTTAATCTGGTGTTCTAGATGTCATGTGATTCGTCAGTATCAGCCTTTCCTGATGGTGATAATCTTTTTAAATGGGTTGCTACTATTGTCGGCCCCAAAGATACCGTAAGTTTATTTGTTATTAAATATAAAATATATTAATGTTTACTACATGATTATTTTGTTTTTAGGTGTACGAAAATTTAAAATACAAATTAAGTATGGAATTTCCACGTGGTTATCCATATAAACCACCAACTGTCATATTTTTAACTCCATGTTTTCACCCTAATGTTGACTTTGAAAGTGGTGCCATTTGTTTAGACATTTTAAAAGAAAAATGGTCTGCTATGTATGATGTAAAATCAATATTAATTTCATTACAATCTCTTCTTGGTGGTAATTATCAAACATTTTATTATATCTATATAAATGACTACTATACATATTATAAGTAGAAGATCTGGAATTAACATCAATAATATTTTAAATATGAACTAAAACATTATTTTCAAAAGACATTTCCTTTATCTTGTATAATTTTGATATCATGGACTCTGAATGTGTGTTATTGGTGTTCAATTATAAAAATTAGTAAACACATAAAATACTAATGTTATTTTGTTTGTTTAATATCAGTTTCAATATGATAGAATTAAAAAAAAAAAAAATGAATAAAGTATACTAAAATTGCTGGTAATAGGTAATATGAGTACTTACATACTACTAGAAAAATTTAGCAATAGGCTAGTATATACCATTAACTTTATTAATATGTGTACTAAGTATTTGATACGCTAGTTTTCGTTTTAAACAAGAACGTATCAATATAGTCTTATACGCTGTGTCAGGCCACATTTTACACACCAAATATAGATGCTTTTGATGTGGATTTACGAGCTATTGTGTAAACTTGGTTGTATCAAACTTTTGATGCGGATTTACTTGGTGCCCATTTCTTAGTATCAGTACTAAACTAGATCAATATTATATTTGTGTATATTTCCATTGAATATATGTGTGTAATTGTTATCTATAATTTAGAATATAATAATCAAATAATATGGATATTGTACTTTTAAATAAGGGCTACACTGATTAATTTGTATACAAATATAAATAATACATGTTAATTATACATTTTTGTAGTTTTAATAGATAATTAATTGAATGTTTTAATTTTTGTAACAACAAATTATCGATACTCTTTTAATATTACCTAATTATTTTTTAATTTTATTATTTATTTTATTTATCTTATAGAGCCAAATAATGAAAGTCCTTTAAATGGTAAAGCAGCACAACTGTGGCCAAGGCAAGAAGTTTTTAAAGCAACATTGTTAAGTACATATAAAGAGTCAGAATCAAACTAATGTGTGTAAGTGTAGTTGTAAGTGTGGTGGTTATTAACAACCTAATTGATCATTATATAACTAAGTTTTTTTCCCTTCAGTAATTCATTAATCATATAACAAACATTCAATAAACTATTCTACCTAGACGCCAGGAAAGTACTTATTTTCTGTATTGTATAACAAAATTCATGTTCTCTAAATGATAATACACTTTAGTTTTAAGTCCAAAAATATACTTTTTACATAACTTTTTCCTTTCTGTATTTGTACTATTTACAATCATAATATAACTGCTTATTTAAGTGCAAATTAAACCTAATTAGTTTAATTTGTAATAGTTATTATTTTTGTAGGGGTATATTGTTTTACATGTTTTTTTTTTTAGTAAATTACTCAAGATTTTTCCTTATTATTTTTTTAAGTAAAACTAAAAAAGATATATTTTAAGTATTGATTTATAATACATATCATATTTTTCAATATACCATCTTAGAAAAATCTTATTGAAAAAAAAAAATATCAAAGTGTGTTAAACACTTTATTTTTTTTTAATTCTTATATTCGTATTCTTTTATTGGGTGAATTGAACTGAATAAGTAATAGTTAATCTTAAATTTCCTATTGTATTTCCTGGTAATATGTACTATTTTATTGTGGAAGTAATATGGCACTTAGTACTAGCCTGTTAAATACATAACAATCATGTCTCAACATATATTAATTTTTAAATAAATATAGTTGTGTAAAAAAAAATGTTATTTACAACTAAATATATTAACGAAATAATTGATATCCTCAAAATATAGTTATTATTTTTATTTACCTTATACCCATAGGTTGGTCCACAACTCTATTATAATTGATTACTCACCTTTTCTTTTTATTCTTTAAATCTTTTAAATTATCCAAACAATTTCAAACATTTTTTTTTTTTTTATGTTTGAATGTACGTTTTTCATTAATAGCTCTTAGTATCTTAATTAAATTTGGATAAAATATTCTTGTCATGTCCTTTGCTTTCATCCCAACTATTTGGGATCGTTCAATACATTCCAAATTTATATTCTTACCTTATACCTATTTCTCTTACTTGTAAGAGAAATAGGTATACTCTTATTCTTTTGTAGGTTTAATCTATAGAGCAGTAATGATGTTCCTACACCGTTTCCTACCTAGAACTACAATAGTTGGTCTGTACACATGACTGCTGAAACTTCTACTGCACTTGTTATCTGGTTAAAAATCACATGCTCACCCAGGCCTCTAACCCTAGCTACATCAATTCCCCATGTATATCCCAGATCATGTAATCTCCTTAATCCCTAATTAAGACATTTCATGCTATTCAACAAAATTGTACGCTGTTGACTTGACTCCAATCCCATTTATGGCCTCTTGCGGCAGATTGAGATATGGTGGGAGTACTCTAATCCTCTACCACAAGGATCTTATTGATAAAAAATACATAACCTAAATAATTTTATTTGCATTTTTCTTAAAATGAAAGTATTATAAAATAAATAGCTTCCTCATTATGTTCAGAATTAAAAATTTTAAACTTCTTATGTCTTATATACAATCTCACTAAGGTAAGATGGTCTATAGACATGTTTATACGTTGTCGTTGTTGTTTATACATGTTTATATATGTTCACAAGAATTTATTTTACATCTATTTTATTAATTACATTGATTTTACAATATTTTATGTTGAATGAGAAATGGTAATGGTATTTATATTGCCTCCGATTTTCCATTACTTCAAAGTTAAATATTTATCAAATTATCCAGTGTTAGTAATGATATAATATATTAAAATGAATCTATTTTAGTATATTTTGTTTTATTTATTTAATGTTTATATCATTATATATAGCGTATATGCTTGTGAGGTGATTCATTAAGCATCACCACATTTTTAGTGGTAAATCATACATTTATATAAATTCTAATTTCAGGAATTTTTAAGTGTAGTTAAAGACAATATTTTTATATACTTAAATTCTTCACAATATTTAAAGAGTATACTGTTGATGATGCCAACTTTGGTTTCTGTTGATTTGTTCACAAGATTAGGATGGGTAAAAGTAGTGAAGCCCTATTCAAAAACCAGGCACTGTGCCACTACACAAATTATGCTCCACTATTTCCCCCAGCCTAAACTTGAAAGTTGAATATCTCGTGAATGAATTAAGGGAAGTCAAAAATTTCAACACCAAAATTTATTTTATTTAATACTCTTTGTATTTATGAAATTTTTGTAAAAGGTTCTCATTTGAAAAATCAAAGTTGGTATTTTTATATAATATCATCAACTATATTTTAAAATTCTAAAAATCAGAATTTGAATATTTTTTTTATTTTATTTATTAAGTTTAACGGGACAAGCCCTTTACATAAGATATAATACAATAATCTAGAACAACCATACATATATTTTGCAGTCCTAAAAATGGGGTGAAATGAATGCTTAATGAATCATCCTGTATTTATAAGGTTAGTCAAATTGTGCATAAAATATTTATTTTTACAAAAAAAGATGCGTAAATACTTTTGGAATCATATATTTTAAAATGTTACATTTCCTTATTTTTGGGTATGAAACAATTGCCTAATTTTAAACGGCATCCTAGATTACTAATTTTATAAATACATGAAGTTATAGTTTAAATATATTTTTTAAACAATTATACTTAAATAATTTTTAGAAAAAAATTAAAAATTTCAGACGATTTTCATGTAAATTGAAATTTTATAAATCTATGTGTGTATATATATTTAAAACAGTTCAATTAACTATATTACAGTTGTCTTAATTGTATTATTTATTGAACATTTTTATATAATATGGCATATTATATAAATATTATATATTATATGATTTATATTATTTTTCATTTGAATTTGTCTATGTACCAAGAAGAACAAGTATAGATGTGTATTGTTCTTTATAATAATAATCTGTTTAAAATTGAATTAAAAAAAACTTTGTATGTAATTGTACAAATTTAAATTAAATAAAAATGTTGATACATATTCTTTTATTTTTGATTATTAATTATTTGAGCATAATTTTATATTTCAGTCCCCAGTCTTATTCATAAAAAAAGAAGATAATTTTTGGTATTCAAAATAAAGTTGTAAACTTTTGTAAATACAAAATAATTATACTTTATAACTTGTTTTATACATTTATGATGATAGTAAAATTTTAAAATTAACTTCAAAAATAGAAAAAGAAATCTGATGTAATGATGTTACAATCTACGTTATTATCTAAGACCGTGGATGTTTCTTTGATAAATTAGCATAAGTACGTTTTTATGAAAAAAATTGTTCAAACATTCATTATATTAACATTAAAAAGTTATGTTCTTGGAGATTACATTTTGACCAAGGACATTGGACAGCAGAAATATCATAGAAAGTCCCTGGATTTTGGTAATGATTTTTACAGATGTTTATTACTTCTAAACAAGAGACTGTCGGTGGCCGAGTGGGGACCATAACATTAAGCACAGAAGCCACAGTTAATTGAGTAACTCCCTGATGTCCATTATGGAGGTCTCATTTTGCATCCATATTCGAAGATGCAACATGTGCTTTCCGGCAGTTTTACTCAAGCATTTATACTATAGATAATAATTGAAAATAAATAGTACGCTTTCCTGGGAGTAAGTAATCCCGTATTTTTGTTGAACATCTACTTCTATATTGTACCTTTTTTTTATATATATATTATAATATTTTACAATAGACTACATTTGTGTTTGCTAGTATTTTATTCAACATTCATTACGTCGAAAAATGGAACACAACAAACACGCACAAACCAACGGGCGTTTGCCAAGTATGTAAAACAATTATTTATTTACAAATTATTGACGCAATATTCATATTTTATTGCCTAAAGCTACTGGTTATTGAACATAAATTTGTATCTACAATAGTTTTCAATTGTATGATAATTTGTTTTATATATTAATGTTAATAACTACATACCTAGAAAATTAAACAATTTGATGTTTTATTATTCATTTTTAGTTTGTAAAATGTTTCATTTTTAATTTAAATTATTATCAAGGTACTAAGAATTTAAATAATGTTATAATATAAATTTAAAAGTAATAGAAACCCACTTAGACTTGGGATTCCTCAAGATAAGTTATATCTATTCAAATTTTGAGTAAAGTCATTGAGCATTTATGCCCTATTCACTTATATGAGTATGCCATGGTTGTAAATTTTTAAGTTTTATTTACTTACACAGTAATTAGTACTTATTTTATTTTATTACAGAGAAGATAGATGTATTGCATAGAATCAAATTTAAAATTATTTTATTTCCTAATAAATTACTACTAGGTGCTCACTTATAAAAAGTATATTAGGTACATAGGTTTGTATAGATTTCATCTACAGATTGTGCAATTAAGAAAAAATAGGACTTCAAAATATAATAATATATAATTTTACCACCTTATAAAAATAAAAATCTTCTCAAATTATATCACAGTAAATCATACAATTTATTATATTATGAACTAAATCAAAATCTAAGTTTCCTACACTGCTACACTAAATTGTAGACTATGCAGCTGCATAATCTATTCTCGCAACTATGCTTAGGTTCATATTATTAGTAATTTTCATTTGTTAATACTTAGGTTATTTATAAAGTTTTGGTAAAGAAATGATAGATTAATATTATTTGTTCAATATACTATATTATTTTAAATTGATTAATTATTTAAAATTTAAATTTAACAATGATTTATATTTTGTAGGGGTTTGTACCTTAACCCACTCCCCTGTGTTTGCCACATTGTGGGTGTTTAAAGACTAAACATAATATAGTTCATACAATTTTAATAAAATTGAAGTACCTATAACACTTTTTTTTGTAAACTACTATAATTTATAGTAATATTATTTTATATTCATTCTTTAATCCTTTGTTATTATTATTATTTTAAATTAAAAATATGCTATTTATATGCAGTAATAGAGATATCTTTACATATCATTTATTTTATAACTAGGTACTTGAGAAAATTATTGTAACACTTATGATATCATTATTTCGAGGCAATTTTCTTTTTGCCGGACAAAAAATTATAGTTTCATTATAATCTTTAACAAGAATTACCATGTAATATTTAAATAGGTGAGTCATTTTTAAGGTAATTTGCTGATTTTATTAAATTAAATAATGATTCATTTCAATAAATTAATGGATAATTTTAATATATAATCCATTATTATTTATAATTTAGCAGTAATATGCTGTATCAGTTTTGAAAATAAACCCAGTAGGCATTGAAAGGGTACTGCGTAGCAGAAACCTTGTTTTAGAAGTGGGTGTCATTAGTTATGTTTTGGGCAACAAGTGTATTATCGCATAAAATGTGCACTATGCTTCTTTCATGGAACAAAATTGAGGTATTTTAATTGAAGGGGTGGGGTTGGTGGCTTTAAAAAATCTTGCTCCTTAACTAAAAGTTAAGAAACACTGCTATATCAATTATAACACTTTTCAAGAAACAAACATACTTAAAAACACTACTTAAAAGTAGTATATCTATATATATTCTTATGCATTAAAATGAAAAAAACAAAGTCTGACTTAGAGCAACCTGATTAATGTGATATACCTACTTAATGAAGTTTATGTATGCCATTTATGACACATATTAGGATTACCTAATTAATAATTTTATACAAGTGAACTTTATTATGTTACTAAAAACAAATATAATTAAATTGTATTTTAAATTATATTTAAGTATGTACATCAAAAATCATTTAAATCTTCACTTTTGTTATTATTTTTTTAAAATATTAAATATGTTATAATTACATAATTACTTAATTACAAATATTTTTGCTGTTCTAACAAAGAAAAATTGATCATTTAAATTTCATATCAATTGTTAAACCGTTATGTTACATACATATAATGTTGTATTTAATTTTATTGAAAAAATTATGAATTAAAATAAAAACAAATATAGTTAAACTGTATTTTAAATTATATTTAAGTAGGTACATCAAGAATCATTTAAATCTTCATTTTTGCTATTATTATTTGAAATACTAAGTATGTTATGATTACATAATTGCTTAATTACAAATGTTTTGCTGTTCTGAGAAAGAAAAAAATCATTTAAATTTCATATCAATTGTTAAATTGTAGTGTCCACATAGATATAATTTTGTATTTAAATTGACTTTAATTATTTATAATTTGTTACTCCTTCCTCACTATAAAAAAAAATAATATAATTGTATTGATATATAAAATTGAGTTCAAATGATTACAATTTATGGCAACAGAAATGAGTGTTGGGTCTCGTTTCTTGAACTCAACTATGGTAATAATGTATTTGAGGAGATTCCATAATTTAAACTATGTAATAGTTCTATCTAATATGTACCAGCTTATGATTTTTATTTTTAAACTATTATACAATTGTGATTTCTAAAAATAAAAACAAAATCTTTACCTGCTTCATTCATTTTATATCTATAAATTGTCAATTACATTTATTTCATGTTAAATTTTAGTGCAATTAGTTAAACACAGATTTAAAAAAATAATTTAGCATCATTTTGTAATATATTCTTTGTTCAATCAGAAACTAATATAATGCACTAATTGTTATTTTAATAATATCAGTAAATTAGCATTTTAGCCTCCATTTAGGTTTGTTAAACTTGTTATGTAATGCATTTTAGCCTCATTTAAAGTCATTATATTTTCCCAGAATACCTACTATATAATTTAATTGAATAAGTAATGTATTTTAACTATTGTTTAATTATTACTTTTTCATATTCAATAGAAATTCACAACTTTAAAACAACCTTAAAATTTAACTGCATTTAATATATTTGAAATTTTAAGAAAATCACTTCTCCTAATCACTACTTGTGTTGAAAAAAGAAAAGAAAAAAATCAAGGACCATGAATTTCCTACTAAAATTAAATACTCAAATAATAATTATGTAGTGTTTTTATTGTATACACTGTATTCAATAAGTGTCCATATTATAGTTTTCTTTCAGTATAGGACAAAATTCTACAGGAAATTTAAACAATTTCTAAAATTCAATTAAAATATTTAAAAGACAATATAATAATATGCAGTATTTTGTTATATCTTTTTTAAGAAAGACTGAACATTTGAAGTTCTAATCTATGTCCCAGTTAACATCATATTTGATTTTTTTTTTTCATTAAAATGTAATTTTTAAAAAGTTTAAATTTCCAATTGCGTACAATTCATAAGTCATTTCTTTTAGTTGTTCTTAACTTGAATATAGTCCAGTGTACTATTTATTTTTATACTAATGAATTTAAACTATATCTAAATATTTCAAACAGAAAATGGAATAAGTTTCTTTTAAGATACTGAACGGAGGAATGTATTGATTTTACCATTATGTTTATTTTATTTTTTTCTGTGAATAACTTCTGCAAGAAATTTTACTCAGATTTTCAAGTGAAGCACTTTTTGAAAGGAAATTTGACTTTGGTGGTACTTTAAGAAAGTTATTTTTTGATTTTTTCCAGAGGTTTTTATAATAAATGGGAAAATTTATTATTTTTAAATATTAAATATTAAAGTCTTTCAAAACATGTATAACTGAACTCCGCTCAGAATCGTTTTTCGTTGGCAATTATTACTTACATATATAATTAAATAACATGTTTTCCACCATCCTAACTTTTCATCTACAGCAGTGGCCTACCCGTCGTGTAAAGTATGTTAGTTTTATTTTTTATTTTTAGATTAGTTAAACTTATAAGGATTCTAAATGACTCATATATGTACCTTGTAAATGTTTGTCATTCCTTGGACTAATATCATTGACTCTAACTAATACCATTGACAATTGGGGGAAATGAAATGCTAAATTTATTCAAATTTTTTTTTTTTTTTTTTTTTTTAATAGGATTCGTACACAATATATATATATAAATACTTGTTAGATACAATATGCCAAACTTTGGTTTTTTTTTTATGCAATGGTTTGATCAATATCTCTCAGACCAATTAATATAAAATAGTTGTTTTTTTTTTAATGATTATAGTATATTATATATATTTACTCATTAAATTATTTTAGTTGTATATTAAAAATTATCAAATAACTGATATAACTTGACTAGTTCATTCACCTTTAATGTTCGAATGATCTATTGAGTAAGTTAAATACAAATTAAGGGATTACATTTTTTTAATTGACTAACAATGTTATAAATGAATTTCAATGCCATTTTTAATTTTTATTGTTATCATACCTTTATCAGTTATTTATTTATTCCCATTTTATATTAGATGTATGAAAAGTATTGAATCAAACCATTACTTTCAATGATAATGTCAGTGTAGTTTGTAGAATGGTAAATAATCAATAGGTATACCCTGTTATTCTATGCTTCTTCTGTTAAATTATATGTGGGTTTACAAATTAAAGATAAATTGGTCCATGATAGTCATTCAATTTGTTTTATATATATATTTGTTAATTAAATATTAATATTAAGTGAGCTTTCATGAATTAGGTATTTTTTTACTTAAGTAAATGAAAAATCAATAACACAAAAATGATTAAACTCATTTTGGTACACGTGTTTGATATTTGTTGTATATTTATATGCCAAATATTACTAAACATTACTAAGTATATAAATAATTATAATGTATTTTAGATTATTATAATAAAGATTTTATAAATATTTCATTATATTATATTACATTGTCATTTTAAATTTAAAACGATTGGCAAATATTGTATTAGTCTATTTAATATTATGTTTGATAACATTATTTAAAAATACTACTATTATATATAATAATATAAATAATATATATAAAATATTAAACTACTTTTATATACTGAAAATATAAATACATGTTTTAATTTAAACTAATCATGATATTTAGGTAGGTACAAGGTTAAAATCAAATAATCAGATAAAATATTAAGTAAATCCAATAGAATATATATTACACCAGGGTTTAAACATAGAGGGACTAGTCAATTTGTGCACCTTATTTAAAGTTTAAATCAAGGTTGTTCCCTATCCCCCACCACTTGTTTTCTTGTTGTAGTGCTTCTGTTAAATCAATTTACCAACCCCTTTTTGTAAGTAATGTCAATAAAACGAGAGTTAAACAGTACAAATAAATAGTAATCGTGTCGCTATGGTAAATTATTTATTATTTTCAATAAAGAAAAAAACAAGCTTATGTTTTAATAGTAATTAAAAAAAAAAATTGTTTAGATTCATATTTAGGATTACCATATATTGTAATTATAACTATATTTTTTTGTTTTAGATTTGTAGTATCTTAAAAGTTTTCAAGGGTTCTTGAAATTTTTTTTAACTGTCCTTATCCATTGTTTATAATTATTAATTTATTTTTATTGTTTTGTGTTTGTATATGCATATATCATAAACACTTATTGTACAATTTTCTATTAAAAAAAAAAAATAATAAAAAAAGATTTTGTAACAAAAATATTTCTATAATTATTTATTTAAAATATATACATATACAACACATACATGCACAAAAAAGTAAGTATTTATAAAGTGTAGGTAGTGGAATATATTATTATTTAAAATATTATGTTCATTGTTAATAATGGTATGTTTTGTTATTCAGATGGGCATGATAACATTGAAAAGGTAGTATCAGGCAAAAATATGAGTCCTGATTTAAATGGCTGTGATATTAGTGAAATGTTTGTCATGGAAGATGATGACCACCAGACTGTATTACTAAATTCACTTAATATGATGCGTAAAAGTCGGACATTTTGTGATGTTATTTTAAATGTAAGTTGAAACATTGATTATCTATAGCTATTTAACTATTATTATGAATTAAATTACATTTTAAGTTAATTATACTTTAAAATACAAGTTGAACATTTGCTATGCAGTTGATAACATAATTATACCTTTAAAAAAAAAAAAAATAATAAAAAAAATAAAAAAAAACAACTTACTACTTATAAATGGTTAACTATAGTATGGGAATTTTAATCATTATTCGTTTTTATTATATAAACTTTTTTGTAATTTGTGGGTTGGACGGGAAGTGTTGACTATTTTGAAACGTAGACCGACCACCATGAGTGTGTGTAGGTGGGCAATTGCGAGTTGCACGGTCATCGTGCTGTGTTGGCCAGCTCGAGTCTATTTCTGATGGAGATGTTTAGCACCGACGATGAAGAGAAAAAAGGTTCTCATCGGGAAGCAATAACAACATACACACTGAATGCTACTGGTCCACTCAGTGACTGTTCTGCTGTTGAGAAGCTCATCGAATACACCTACACATCTCGGTAACGCATTGTCGCTACCACTTATTTATTTAACTCTAACAATCTTACTTTCTCGATCCCTAAATATAAACATAAAAAATATAAGAACAGTGAAATAGTATATGCTTAAAACATATTTAAGTTTTATTTATATTATATAACTTATAAGTAATATGTCAATTAAATAGTTGCATTTGATATTGATATTTTTACTTACCAATTCCCATGGAAATTTAGCTACATAATTTAACAAAACATCAATTTTGAGAATATAAAATCTAGATCTATTTTATTACTATTTAGAGTAACATTTATATAAAACTATTTATGTTCAATTAGTGATCGAGAAAGTTATTTTATTAATTGGTAACATAGCTTTTAATTTTTTGAAGTAATATTTCGAATAAATGTATCAATAATATTCATGATATGTTTTATAATACTAATATATAGTATTGGATATTATTAGATATATTATGAGCCGTTTTATTTAAAATCCATTATTTTAAAAAGGTATACAGTTTAAAAAAAATATGTACCTATCTAGGTATTTTAACTTAATGTATACATTTCATTTAATTTTCTGACTTAATTCTTTTTATTTTCTTCTCATATTACTTTCTAATTATGGATTTTTTCCAAAAATTGGTTACACTAATACCTGTACCTATTTATTATTTTAAATAATAATATTTATTCATATGTTTATTTTTTCATAACAAGGGTTTAACATTAATTTTTAACTTACAATTTAACGCTTATTTATTAACATATATCTCTTAACAACTTCATTTTTTTCTTATACTATCAATGAGTTAAAACTCAATAAATTGGTTTAATGTTCTCTAAAAAATGATATTTTGAGTATAGTAATAATTAACATAAATAATTAATTAATAGTCTTGGTATTATATACCTAACACTAAATAATATTTTGTAATTATTACATAAAGTGGTATTTTAGATAGCTAATGTTTATAGTATTTATACAATTTGTTTATACTTGGAACATTTATTATTATTAATATTTATTGTTATTTTCTTTTAAAAATGTCAACATTTCCCTTAATTTTATATATCCCTTATTTTATATTTTATAAAATTTCATTAAACATCACATTTTTTCTACTTGAGTTTTAAAAAAAACATGGTACCAAACCCAATAACAGTCTTAATTTTTCAAAAACAATGAAAGTGAGACAAATTAATCATAATCAATAACCTTATTGTTTTTAATTAACATTTTGGTAAAAAAACCAATTCAGAACCAACATTTTTTTTTTTTTTTGTCCTTGTTGACAAATGATAATGTAGATAAAATACAATCGTTTAGTTAAAAGGAAAGTCATAATTGTTTTTTTTAATTATATACTATTAAAAAAGTTAATAATTCAAAAAAAAAGTTTTTTTTTTTTATCTTTTATATTGAGCTGTTTATTTTGAATAATACAATAATACAAAAATCCTTATGATACTCCTTTCAAAATATTGTTCTCTATAAATTTCATAATAGTCACTTTTATTCTAAAATCAAGCTTCTTAATCTTACGTGCTCAATATTTTTATTTTGTTCCAATAAAATTGATAAGTTAAAGAATTTAATATTTTATTTGTTTTTGTTAATCAGCCTGCTGCCTGCTTTAAGACAACTAATAATGAACTGATCAAGTACAACGGGGCAATTCATTATAATTCTTTTTTTATAATTGGTTTTTACCGATATTCTGAAAATATAACCACACAGTTTTTAATTAATAAATGTTGATATCTATAAAGAGCCAATTACTGATTAAGAACATATCAACAATTAACCATAAAGGATATTACCAGTTCTCAACAAGTTTTGAGTTCCTAAATAAGAACTAAGTCAATTGCAAATATTTTTGATGAAGGTTTAAAGCCTTAACAATTATATTCTTAAGTTATTTAGGTATTACATTTTTATTTATTCTATTTACTCATTTTAAGTAAAATGAGTTAACTTTAATTAAAGATGCATTTTAAAAAGAAAGGATTTATAGAAAAATTTAATTTTTATCTATATAAAACAATAAATTATTACTAATGAAAAATGATTCAGAGTAAAATTTGATAAAATTTGTTTTGAAATGCTGTGATATTTACCATGTTTATTTACATTTTAACTTTCAACGTTTATAAAAAGTTATAAATACTTTATACTCAACTATTTTTGTTTTACTATTAATTATAAGTTATAATAAACCTTGTATTAAATTGCCAAGCAAAAATAATTTTATTTATTAAAAAACTCGAAAATTTCAAATTTTTAAAAATAACTCAAAAATCACTAGAAGGTTTTGAAATTATAACATATCTAGAAATTGCTAGTATCGGTATTTTAAAAATTTTAGTTCTCTATAATTTTTTTCAATCAAATTATAACATTTTTGCATACATTTTTCCCAGTTATTAAGAAAACTAACAATGTAAATCAAAACATAGGCTTTCCATTAATCAACTGTACAAAATGTATATATTAACCATCTTTAATATTGATGATCGGAGTAAGATAGACAAATTGATAACAGATTTAATGTTTTCACTTTTTTATTTTATCGACAGAACATTTAAACTATATGTCTAAAAGTATAGATTTTATAGAGACTTATATATTAATCTAAATCTTGGAAATATGAACACATTACTAGCTAAAATTGGGTTCCTACCCAATTGATGAACTCTTTTTCTAAAGCTTATAGCGGTTCGTTTAGGACAAGCACCACTTTTCTGTCTCTCTATCCAATGCCATTCTCATCTCTAGCGACTGTTTGATTTTCTTCAGATATCATTTTACTACAGGTTCATATATTTTTCTCTCAAAATCTATGTTTTATTCGGGTGGTCCAAAAAAAAGTTATGAAATTCAATATGAGTACCTCCTTCCCGTGCTGAAATAGGATTGAATTATGGCACAAGGGTATTGTTTTTCAGTTTTTTTTTTTCAATTCGAAGTATTTTTCATAATAATATTCAATCTTTAACCAATTTTTAAAAAATAAAATTTGTTTTCAATATCTCTTAATATTTTTTATTTTTACTTTTTTTTTTTATATAAAATACGAGTTAAATAGAATTTTTATTAGATCATTTTTTTAAGATAAAAGTATTTTCTATGATATAAATTTTAAACTTATCTAAAATAATTCAAAACAATCTAAAAAAATAAACTGAAAACACCTTAATGTCATAATTCAATCTTACTTTTCTGCATGGGAAGGGGATGAGTTATTGATTTCATATTTTCACAAAATTATTTTTCATACCAATAAAAAAAATGAGGGATACTCATTTTTAATTTCTCAAGAAAATGTCAAGCCTCTACAAATTTGGACCACTCTAATATGTATGTATAGATTAGATGCTCCTTTATATGTCTTATATTGTTTTTTCGGTTATGTTGGTTTCCAAATATTTGAAGTCTCCTACTTGCTCTCGAATAAGCTCTTCGATGCTGAGATCGAACTTATTAATGAATTTATGTTTTACTATAATATTTACATCTTTTATGTATCTGAAATTGACATTAGGTACTATTGATTAAATATTGGGAAATTTAATAATCAATTCATTTATTCTAGTTCATTTTTTTTTATTTGTATTTTATGTGTCTACTATTCAAAATGTTTGCAAGTTATGCTTGATATTAAACATTAATATTATTATTATTATTATTGAACATTTGATACTAATGAAAATCTATTTAATAACAGTTTAGAATTATATAGAATCATTTTTTAAATATTTGTATTTTATATTTTTAGCCTGGAAGCAAATGTTTATCAAGTAAAATCAATATTTCAAGCAGCTTGTTATTTGAAAATGGATCGTATTGCAAAAGAATTAGCTCGTTTTATGTTAAAACATTTGAATGTCGATAACTGCATTGAGATACGTTCTCTTCCATGCATATCAACAAGTATATCTTTTATAAACCAAGTTAACTCTTTTATATCAGCACATGTAAGTATTACAATGTTTGAAAGTTAAATTAATTAATAATATTAATATTAATTCATAGATGAAAGAGATTGCTGAAACTCCAACTTTTCTGTCATTACCATGCATACGGATAGAAATTTTAAGTCAAACAAAACAAGAAATGTCTTTAAGTACTGGTGATTCTATTTCTCAGTTGGTGTTAGATTGGATTAAACGATGTTATGATGAGAATGAACCAACAATATTCTTCAACGCTCTTATGGAAAAAGTATACTTATATAACTAAATCAAATAATAAATATATTTTAATGAACTTTTTTTTTTTTTTTTTTTTAAGACTTACATGTTGTATTTAGCATTGGATAACATATTACAAGATTGTTCAGAACTTCCATCTGGAGAATTAAGTAACACTGAAATTGTCCAAGATTATAAAAAACTATCCAAAAAATCAACATCAATACCAAAAGTAGTTCTTTACAAATATTTTTACATTTTCATATTACTTATAACATATGTTTGTTTTAGACAAGACGTAAAGGTCAAATACAGCCTGCTAAATCTAGAGTTTTAATATGTAACCGTGAAATGCATGAACGAAGAGAGAGTTTTGTTGATAGTGATTGGACAATACTTGGTGTTACTTGTGTTGGAGGTATTTAGGTCTTTTTTTATCATATTATAAATAATTTCAGTTATTTTTTTTGTTTAGAGCATACTTTTTCTACTTTGGCTTCACTGAAAGGTCACTTGTGTTCATTAAGCATAAAATTAAAATTAAATATTTCTATGCCATCAAATCTACCATCCACTGAACCATCACCATTAAATAGCCGAGCTGAATCTCAGGAGTCGTTACCTGATCTTTATTGTGCCCTAGCTCTCATGACATCTGGGAAATGTGCTATTGGCTGTGCAAATCTTAACAATAATTTATTAGTGTGTGGAGGTTATGATCGAACTGAATGTATAAAAAATGTAGAGTCCTATGATCCTGAACAAAATATTTGGGAAACATTTGAACCAATGTGTGAAGCACGTGGGCGATTTAATATAGCTGTACTAAATAATAAAGTATATGCAGTCGGAGGCTGTAATGGTACAACAGAATTATCAACCGTTGAATGTTATGATAGAAATAAAAAAAAGTGGATTCCTGTGACATCCTTACCACTTGCTAGATCCAATACTGGTAAGTAAATATTTGTCTTTATATTTATTTTACATATTGTGCCTTAAAATATGTATATTTAATTTTTAAAGGTGTTTGCGAACTAAATGGTAAAATATATTGCATTGGAGGGTGGAATGGTCAAGTTGGAATTAAACAAAGTGATGTTTATGATCCAGATACAAATAATTGGACCAGTATTGCTCCATTGCAAACAGGTATTTTTAGTCGTAAACAATTATTTAATAAATAAAAATACTAATGATCAAAATTCTACACCAATTAGGAAGAAACCAAGCTGGTGTTTGTGCAATGGATGGTAAAGTATATGTTGTGGGTGGCTGTGATACTTGGAATTGTCTAAACTCAGCTGAGTGCTATGATCCTGAGAATAACTCATGGTCTTTTATTAAACCAATTATTACTCCTCGTCGTGGTTGTGGGCTTGCACATATAAATGGTTAATAGTTTAGTTTTACTCTAGTTACTTCACTACAACTAAATTGAAATAATTTATGTTATCACAGGAAAATTGTATGTTGTGGGTGGTTCAGATGGAACTCAGTCGTTAGCTACTACTGAAATATATGATATTAATGAAGGAACATGGAGTCCAGGTCCAAATATGACTACACCTCGTGCAAATGTAGGAGTTGCTGTCGTTGGGAATAGATTATATGCTGTAGGAGGATTTTCTGGTAAATATCAATAAACCAGAAATCTTATTTTTTTTTATAAAAATAATGGTTTTTGATAGGTAAACTTTATTTATTTTATTATTATTTATTTATTTATTTTTTTTTTTTTTTTTTAAGGCAAAAAATTCTTAAATAGTATTGAATTTTTGGATGAATCTATGGATGAATGGACCCGCTTTAGTCCGAAAAATAATTGTTCAAAGTCAACATCCCCACTTTTAACAAATGGTGGAGTTTATAATTATGAATGTGATTTTTTAGAAGGTTCTACAAATGGTATCATATAATGTTAAAGAAATATTATTCTTAACTATTATTTTTTAATTATTAAAATTTTTATATTTAAAAAATTATTTTCTCTAAGAGTGTACTTTTACAACATTTTCAACGAATTCCTTATCTGACCCTTATTTGGGATATTTTGGCAATTTAATTAATATAAGTTAAAAGATATTGACCAATAGTAATAATATTACAAATTAACAATATTTTCTATTATGGTGGGGGGGGGGGCAAATATTTTTTTAATTTTGTTTTTGCAGACAAGTATTATGTGTATAAGACATGTCTTAATGAAATGTAATCACATTTTAAGCAAAAACCTTTTAACCTGTTTAAATAATTGGAGAAATATATTTTTTAAATTCCATATATAAATTAATTAATTCTATGTGTAATCAAATAGTTAATGCAATAATTAGTATACCTTTTTTTTTTTTCGGTTTTTGACTAATTTATAAATACTTAACCCTTTCATTATTTCATTATAATTTTTAATGACTAGTTATTAATGTGGATCAATATTTTAATTAAATATACAATTTAATGCTATATGAATTGATTAATTAATGAAAGGGTTAAGAAAGAATTAAATCTATCTGAAATTTATTTAGTAAATTTTAAACACAAATGATAATTGTTTCTAGTTGATAAATATATACATTTAGTATATTATGTATGTGGTACTTATCCATGTTTAAACTGTTAAATAATATTGCCTGTTATGTCTTAGGTATTTGAGCACTCTGCCATTTTAGTGTACAATCTTATCACTAGCTTTTCCTACCCAGTGTCGGTTTTCTCCTATAAAGTTCCATTGTAATATTTTCTCTATGAAAATAACTGCATTAAATAGTTAGTTTAAACCTTGCTTATGATTTTTCTTTCAATATTTAATTAGTTACTTATCAAATTTAAACTAAATATTAGTGTTTACACATGATATTAGTTTTGTACTTGAAGTATGTATGTATATATATAAAACATTATTTTAATTATCAGTAAATTTACTGTAAAAACTGAATTAAACTGAGACATTGTTTGTGAAAAACATTTGTTTTATCATTAATGTGGTGCCAATTGTTATTTTTAGGAAAATGACAGTTGATTCTCAAACAGAGTTAAATCTTTTAATTCAATCTATTTTGTTTTAAAAAAAAAATTTTTTATTCATATGATTGTTTTGCACTGTGTACTTAATCATACACTTATTATTAAAGTATTAAAAACTTACTGTAATTTTATAAGAAACTTCATAAAAAAAAAAGATTGTTTATTTTAAACAAATTTTCATTGTTTGATCTTGATGGTTAGGGAAAGGATTTATATGTACTTAAAATTAACAAAAAAGTGCTTACAAACATTTCTAACTTATTAAAATATAATATCACTAAAGAAACGATTATTACAAAGTAATTTTCTTCAAATATATTTGTATGTGTTACATATATATAAAAAGGCTTTGTGTTAATCATTTGTCAGTTTTAGACAACTGTATTTAATAAGGTTAAACCCCTTTACCATTTGCTCTTTTGACGATTAAATCACTTTTTTTGCGGATTTCAAGTACTTATAATTTCATTCCCTACTGATTGTATTTAATTCATTAATTATTGTTTAATAATTAATATATTATGACTTAATTATGAGCAATAATTTTAATAGAAAGAAATTATGTTTACATTTTAATATTTGGATATCTTGGATTAATATACAATTGTGTAATGTGTTTTTGTTTGGTTCATATTTTGTTTAAATTTTAGTCGACTCAGTGTTGACAGTGTGTTTAGTTTTTTTTTGGTTTTTTTCAAACAAAAAAAGTTGAGTTTTTGTTTTGTTTCTGTGTCGGTTTAGTGTGGACCCGGCATAACACTCCGAGTCAAGTGCAATATAGACTAAAATATTTAAATAATACATCAAGTCAGTGGGTTCATTTGAAGAGAAAAACATCGGATATTAGAAATGAAAAAATTCAAGAATTTTAGATGTAAAAATGACCATAACATATAATCCAATCGTTTTATTATAAACAAAAATATTTTAATAATACCGGCGAAAAATAACTAAGTAAAAACTACTGAAAAATTCGAATGTGATCGGCTATTGAATAGTTCGATAGTGTTCATCACTAGCTGTAACCGATGATAAACCATTGCTAACGATAAATTATTCGGAACCAAGTTCGGCTATACACGTTTTGAAAGGCCGTAATATTTACGATTACGAAGTCTACGAATATTTTCAACTGAATTAAAATTAAAAATAATAAAAGAATTATTTTCTTAAATTGCCGTAGAAATTTAAAGCGCCTAATGAAATCGTTGCGCCATAACTTGAAAAGATCCTATTTTCGTTTTTTTTTCCTCGATTTTTATAAAAAAATAAGATATTAAAATATAATTTCTTTATCAGTGGCTAAGTATATAAGAAGGAACAAAATGAATGTCTTATCATTTTTCAATCGAAGTAGAAAACATCGTTTGCAAAAATTAAAATCGACGAAAACCTCGCGGCGAGCCGTAAATATGGCATCAACTAGATATAATCACCTTCCGGAAAACGTACTTTTATTTAAGATAAGATAATTTATTGGCCATAATACAGTTGAATATATCGCACATTTACAGTACCTATTAATAGAATATTAACACAAAATTCATTAATGAAAAATATAAAATATTAATAGTTTGGCGTAATTCACCATTGAGGTAAAACCTCGTGTTGGTGAAATTGTAGTATGCAGTCAATATACATAAATAGCAGTTATTTATAAGTTTTGGGTTTTGAATAATACAACGTTCACTTAAAATAAAATAAAATAGAAAAGTATTTACAAAATGTATTTTTTTGATATTTTAACTATTAAAATAAGTATATATTTATAAAGTGTTTTAATGTGTGAATTAATTTAATTTGATAACATAGAAAAAACATAATATAAAAAAAAAGAAAGATTTAAGACTAATGAATAAAGCGTAGTTGGTATTTATAGAATTTATATTTCCTATTTTAGAGAAATGAGTTAAAAGTGTTAGCTTTTAGCGGTGGGTTTGCGTTCGATTCGTGTTATTTGTTATTTATGTTGGTATTATAATTTTGAGAGATTTATTGAGATTGGGTTGATATTTCTTTTATTGTTTACCATAATGATATTATGGTACTTTTATAAAAACATTAATTTAATACTTTGGAATATACAGATATACTTTTAATCATCAATATAAAATACTTTTTGTAATACGTATTTTAAATGTATTTAATATATTTTATTATTAATATTTTGTATAAAATATTTTTAAAATATATTTAATAAAATTTGAAATGATCATAATATAAGTACACATGAGTATAGTATAAAGGAGTGGAGGAGTCTACAATTATAAATATATGCACTTAAATGGATCACGTTTCTGATGATTAATATTTGAACTTCCACGATTTGTTTTCATCGAGTTGTTCCATCGTTCCAAATATATACTCCCCCAAGTGTTCTCACATTCTACTTCACATATGTTTTTATATTTTTGGTCACGGGAGGAGAATTCAGTAGTTCAGTTACCAATAATAAAAGGTTGTTTTATGATGTTTTAAAACTTGTTATCTTAATGCTTGTTATAATTAGTTTACTAACTGAAAAAGGAATTAAACCCAAAGGAACGTTATTGAAATAGATTTGTTAAAAAAATAATGTATAAATAAAGTACAAACTAGTTGATATTATGTAATATTTTTTTTCTAAGTTTACTTGTATGTTTTTTTAAGAATGTTACCCATAAATTTCCCCTTAATAAAGTTTAAACTATAAATGGTAGAAAAATTAGTGAAATAACTGTATTTAAGGGTACGGGGGCAAATTTTATTTTGTGACCGCGAATTTATGGTCTAAGCTAAAAAGTGAGTATTACGAAATATTACCTCGTACGAAAAACAGGCCCTGGTCAAAACAATGTAAATACTTAATAAACTGTATTCTCACAATCACGAATTAAGATATATATGTCGTATATATCTTATTAATTCGTGCATACAACACTCCTAAGAGCTCTTGTTAACGTTTGTTTTTTTACCGGATACCGGTCCGGTGTAAAACGGATGGTTTTGCTGACGAAACGTTAAAATAACGGACATACTTCCGTTGCCTGTAATATTTTATCGATTATCTATAATTAAATTTAGTCAGTTCCAAACAAGAAACGGCTGAGTATAAAGTCTAGTAAAATGTTTACTAGAAAGAAAAAAGTTATAATAGCGTACTATTTGTACAAAAAAATGCAGCAGAAAGAAAAAAGAAAGAAAAAAATGTGGGTACATCCTATTTTATTGGAAAGAAAAAGTTATGGAATTTTCTACACTCTTTTTGAAGATTTAAAGAAAGACGAAACAAAGTTTTTTAATTTCTTTCGAATGAGTCAAGTAACATTTCAAAAATTATTAACATTAGTACAAGATAAATTAAGGCATGTTGATACTGAAATGCGTGAGTCTATTACACCTGCTGAACGATTGGCTGTTACCTTAAGGTATGTATGAATAATACAATTTTAAAAATATAATAATTATTATTATATTTTAATAATATAAAAATATAATATTGTCCCCATTTCCAAGTCCAAAAACATGATTTTTGAGAATCAGCTTTCCCCAATTCTTTCATACTTTAAANTAGTATATATGGACTTGGTGAGTTTTGCAGGTATTTAATTGTTGATCTAGCACACTATAAATTTATCAAAATTAATTGATTTGCACACAATTAGTTCTATTATAATATTATTTATTATTTTATTATAATCAAAAACATATATATTTTTTTTAACAAATATTATTTGTTCTTAATTATTATGATCAATTAATTAATTAATTAATGATTCGTAAAAAACTGGTGATTTTGAAAAATCGAAATCGTAATCGGAAACGGCTGTTTGACTTTCGGCTGTGTCTAGACTGTCGATTGATTCTGGCGAAGGTTCAGCAGTCGTACAAAAGCTCCTTTTACCATTTGGTGTCATACATTGATGGACTTTGTTTGATTCATTTACATTATAATTACGATATATTCCACGTGGATCTTCATTAATGTTCGGTGCAACATGAGCTGGATGTGATGAATGAAATTGCGCAGGTTGACTTAGATTTTGATAATAATTTCTTGGTACACCATGCTGTAAATATAGCGTCTGAGTTATTTGAGTTATGTTTCTCATGGCTTTTATGACCTCATACTGAAACTCAACTATATCGGCATCATTAAATTTTTCAATGGTCGGCGCAATTCCACTAAAAAAAGACATAATTCTACTTTGATCATCTTTTTCTACAGAATCGACTAATCTCGTTATTCTTCTTTCCAACTGATCTTTTTCTGTTAAGTGTTTCTTCATTTTCTTTTTTGGAACTGGACTTTCAGATGTAATTGGGTTTTCTTCGACGTCTTCAGCATGTGGCATATTTGTTTCTGTTGGTCGATGACCTACAATTTTATTTAAAAACTGCATTTGCTCATAAAATTTGTATTTTTGAACAGGTTTCGCTGCTGAACCTGACTTGTTGTACTCTTTAATTTTTTTATCACATCTCATCCAATTATCTCTTTCATTATTCCATTTTTTTATAACATTTTTTCCTAATATTAAAAACAAATAGATTAAAACTTAAAAATATTTATTTTTACAGGTACTTCAGGAATCAGGAAGTACATTTACAGATTTTCAATACACATTTAGAATCGGAATAAAAACAATAAGCTATATCGTTCGAGAAGTATGTACAACAATATGGACTGAATTTTGTAATATATATATGAAAATTCCATCCAAGGACGACTGGTAAACGATAGCTAATAATTTTGAAAGTGCTGCAAATTTTCCTCTATGCTTAGGCGCCATAGACGGTAAGCATATTAGAGTCATAAAACCCGAACAAAGTGGATCAATGTTTTTAAACTACAAACACTACTTTTCC